ACAATGTTCAAGTGAATGTACACTGTATGATAACCATGGTATACTATGGTATTGGTATTCACTGCTCCACGTCATCAACAAACTAGTCTTTTGTTAGAAGCAGAAAATGACTGTTTTTAATGTGTAATTGGTTGGTCTATAAAGTCAGAAAATACAACACTATCATTTTATAAAGCCGAAGTTCACACCTTCAGATTGCTTATGACTGACCCGGAGTCCCGAACCCGAAAGATATTCAGAGTTACTGTCATATATGAGAAGCTTAAACGAGGAGCGAAACGATTAATCGGTTATCAAAATAGGTGCCGATTTGATTTTCCGCTTAATTCACTCAAATATTGGGACATTTGTCGATTGACTTTACAAAACTATGCACACATGCAGCAACATCAGCCTGCTCCCTGTGGTATACTACTGTACAGCTCTTTTAATATAGCTTTTTTATCACATATCCAGTGCTATCACATATCCAGTGCACTATTTGTTCAGTGACAGAGCATTTACACACACATCAGCAGTGTGCTCAATTTCTGACCCATTCTCACATTCCTCCACATTTTGAATTTCCCTTACACAGAGGAAATGGGCCTCCTTGCAGCTGATGTCAGACAGTGGGATGTTCTCCAGCTGCTTTTGTTAGCGCGCAGCCTTTTTTAGTGAACAGGAGTTAGAAAATGTTTTCCAGGCCGTATTCCGGTTTTTCCTTCCTCAGTGGTTGATTCTGCCACCCTCTCTGTGGGCACGGTGTTTGGTGGCTGGATTTCATTTATGTTGTGCTTTCTGCAGTGAGGATTATGTAACCAGATGTGCGTGCTGACAGTTGAGGTTGCAGTGGCACATGCTCGCACCGATGGTTCAGACACCTGCTGCACCAACCTCAGGCGGTTATCAGTTCCCCACCACTGTGGCGTATTATCTCTTCGCCATAGAGAATACATTGAGGCTGCCTATGTGATGAATACCTGTGCTAAGGATAACATAGTGTTTTTACAGGTTGACTAGTCGCTCCCAAAAGGCCTGTACTATGCTGTGATGAAGGACACAGAGAAATATTTTACCTTTGCACTGTTTTGAACGTAGGATCGATGGCACAGGACTCTTCAATGAGCGTGGGTGGGTTTATCACATTAACATCATTTGGTAGGCCACGTATTTCTGTAGATGGATCTAAAGCTGTGGCTTGAATGGACCCCTCCTGGGCTCACATAGGTCCTGAAACCACTGTATACTGTAAGTCATAGCATATATTTGCACATAGAAAATGTACATCTATGGGCCTGTGGTGCTGTCTTTCCTGGGAAACGCTGCTTGTGCCACTGTGCCTGAATCTTAAGAAAGACACCCGTGAAATGATGCACCTTCTTTTTAAGCGCCATATCATATTTGCTGCAAACATTTTCTGCACATTTGTTTTACAGACCTCGACTTCACACCCTCACCATTGTACATAAAGCCTGGTTGACTCCTGTCTGTCTTGCGGTCCGTCCGAGCTGTGGTCTGCTCCGATTGTGTGTTTGTGAAGGCTGCTGTCACACGGCACAACACAGGAGATTGTCGTGTTTTATGTGACATTTCTGAGCCTTCGTACAGCGAAGCGGTTATCATGTAATTACATGTCACATAGAATTTCATTATGAAAAACAAGATAATTGAGATAAGACAATTATCGTCTCTCGCTCCGTTTGGCAGCTCTTTCTTTTCCAGCGTTCCTCCCCAACCTGGACTCTCTCTCAGCCAGGCTGTGGCAAGTTGAGGACAAGATGACAGAAAGAGAGCCGTTGGCCATACTCACTCCAAATTAGGCATTGAGGAGATTAGCGTGGTGGTGTGGGTGTGTAACCGCTGTGAAATAATCCCAAAATAAAGTTTATTTCTCTGATTCACCGGCTTTCAGTACAACCTCTCCCGTGGCGCTAATGCATTTAGAGTTTGGCAACAGTGACGAAATCAAGTGTCACAATGTTTGACCTAAAGGAAAATGATTCTACTATATAGTGGTAGTTGTTCTGCATCCTGTATTCCCATTGTCTGTTTTCAAGATAGAAAAAATGGCCACAAACAAAATATGATTCTGGAATGAGAAATGGGCTATGCGGCAACAGAAATCCTTATTCTTACTTGAGCAGCACTGCCTAATTTAAAGAAATTAAATTTACCTTTTGACTTTTTGGACTTTTCTTCTGAGAACCAGGGATGTTTGAAAAACTCTAGCGAACGCTATTGGTGCTTTCAGGTGATATTTAATCTGTGTGTGTGTGTGTGTGTGTGTCTGTGTGTGTCTGTGTGTGTGTCTGTGTGTGTCTGTCTGTGTCTGTCTGTGTGTGTCTGTGTGTGTCTGTGTGGCTTGTCAGCCGACCTTTTACTTTTTTTTTTTTTTTTACTGTCCTGGCAAAACACGAGCAGCACATGTCCAGTGAATAGAGCTCAGCTCTTCCTCACAAGAATGACAGCTGCTCATGCAGGCCTGATGCAGGAGGTGTGTGTGTGTGTGTGTGAGAGAGAGAGAGAGAGAGGCAGAGGCAGAAGCAGAGAGTGAGTCATTGGCTGTGTAACAGTGAGGTAATTCTAGATCTGTTACTAATGCCAAAGGGAGTCCCTGCTTGCTTTACCGCTCTCTTTGTGTCTGTCTGTCTGTCTGTGTGCGTGTGTGTGTGTGTACATGATGCACATATGTGTCTGCATCAGAGTTTCCGTTTGTGCCAGTCCACGTGCCCTGGAAGACTTCAATGTCCTGGTGAAATTCTGGTGAAATATTAAATTTTTATTGTGCTTTAAACAACATTAAACTAGATTTGGTGTTGTGTTGTGCAATTTTGCCCCACCTCCAATTTGAGAGTGCGGTTCATGTTTACGCTGCAGTTGTGCGAGCTGGACACGTGTGTTTGTTATGATTATATTACTTATGATCAAATTTTTGTCTTCTGTCCTGTCGTCGCAGCTCTGTGTGGATTCTCCATGGTAACAAGCTGCAAAGCTGCACTGTTACTCAGTTGTTTTTCCTGCTGTGGAAAAGAGAAGTTACAACATTACCCCCTAAAGGACAGGTTCACGTGGTGTTGTTTTTTCATTCAGGGATTACATTTATGGCCGTGGCTGACTGCTGCACATATTTCCAGCACTCGTATCTAACAGTGACCTTGAATACATAGTGCGGTTGATCTAATGATCTAATTTTACTTTAATTTTCCTCTTTTAATGATTCCATAACGAGCCTTGAGTATGTGAAGTGCCACATGAGTTACAGGGACTGCAGCGTACTGTCAGTTAGACCATTCTCCTAGTTTACCAATACTCCAGTCTGAACATCAGCCTTGTGTCGCCTTAACAACCAAGGACTAATCTATTGTTGATCCTTCCCTCTGACTAGAGCTCTTTATTACTCAGGGAACCTGTCTGAGCTTAACATGAGACTAAAGACTCGAACCCAAATGAGTCGAATGCCAACTGCACCTGAGCCAAACCTGAGTCCAGAAAACGTGGACAACGCTCGCCGATGCACTGCCGTCTGAGCGGTTCCTCTGTTACCTTATCTAGCTCTGAGCCAGATGGGAGTACCTCTCATTAAAAGTGAAGTACATCCAGAGCTTCCATTGGCTCGTTCACTCACGCATTACGCAGTCGTCTAGGCTTTCTCTTTTGGAACTAAAACATTGATTGATTTACTTTCTCTGTTGGCCAGTGATGAGCCCATAAGGTGCATACAGATATGCATTAAATGACCTACAATAAAAAACACCCAGCAGGCAGGGTATGAGTGGAAACAGGAAACAAATGTTAAAATCACCTCAGTATTAGCTCCAGGATGTACTCATTGAGACCAAATGAAAAGCCACCAAGTGTGATAATTAGATCTTTCAGCACGTTGTTAAATGGCCACATCTTTGGTTGGATCGAGTGATGTTTCTTTTTTTATTGCAAATGGAGACCTGACTTGTAGTCAAATCACGCAAAGTAAACAGAATATTTCTCTACTTTTTTCTCTCGCTTCAGCGGCTCACGTCGGATTAGTACAGGCCAGACAGTAAATGGGATTGACAGCAGGAGTCATTTCATATGGAAATGTGGGCTTGTGCTCAACTCTATTCCAGCGTGTTTTACTACCCTCCCACTAGAGAATGATTAGTCAGTTTATAGATTAGTTGTCAACTATTAAGTTAATCACCAATTTTTTTTTGATAACCGAATACTGGTTGTGAGTAATTCTTGAGTTCAGCTTCTCAAATGTGAATATTTTCTGGTTGCTTTAGTCCTTTTTTATAACAGTAAACTGAATATGTTTGGGTTGTGGACAAAACAAGGATGTCACTTTTTGGCATTTGGGAAACAGTGATCAACATTAATCGAGAAAATGATCACCTGATTAATCGATCAAGATAAATGAGTTGCAGCCCTACTTCCCACCACGGTGTAATTCCTTTCAGCTCACCAGCCTTGTTGTTTCTCTCACTCCCTAATTTCAGTTCAATGATTCTTCATTGACATGACAAATTTCCGACCCCCTCCCCTCAAACTCTCTTCCCCTTTGTGCACCCCTGGCTGTAGGTGATGAAGTGTTTGGGTCTCTGCTGGTGAACTGCTGCCTGGTCCAGATGGCTCATTGTTGTATCTGCTGCCCTGCCCCTTTAATAACACACTTTTGGCATTGGCTAGTGTCACTAGTGCTGTTTTATAGCTGTGTGTGTGTGTGTGTGTGTGTGTGTGTGTGTGTGTGTGTGTGTGTGTGTGTGTGTGTGTGTGTGTGTGTGTGTGTGTGTGTGTGTGTGTGTGTGTGTGTGTGTGTGTGTGTGTGTGTGTGTGTGTGTGTGTGTGTGTGTGTTTTTCTCTGTGCTGCTGAATCTGACTGCATTATGTTTATATTGTCTGGTGATAATGTGAGCAGATGTAGTGTAACGGTGGTGGAGAGAATAAAGGAGAGAGAGGAGGGTGGGGGTGGGTGTACAGCAGTGTGCCTCCTGTCTCCTCCTCAAGCTGAACACGTCTAAAGGTGCCTTCACACTGGGAGTTGAGCCAGAATCCAGGAGCAGTTCTCCTAACAGAAAGGGGAAAATATATAACAAAAAAGGCATTAATGTCGGATTAATCGATTAGTCGATCAGGAGAAAATGAATCACCAACATTTTGGATGATGAAGTCAGTTCCGTTGCAATTTTCTAGTTTTGGTTTCTTTTAGTGTGAGGATGTTCTGCTTTTTACTGTGAGGACACTTTACCTCCGACTGTAATACGCTTTACTCAACTCTTTTCTTCAGCTGAATATAGGAATGATGTGTTTGTTACCTCAGAATGAGCCTTTTATATCTACGGACGCCTCGGCTCGCCTTCCATGGCGTCCCATATATTGAACTGCCATGTTTCTACAGTATCCCAGAAGGGACGAAGCAAACACTGGCTCTGGATTGGGCCGCTGTAGTTTCTCCTTCGCACTTGGAACTTGGAAGGGTGAAGCGAGGGAGTTGCAATCTGCAACTACATCGCTAGATGCCACAAAATCCTACACGCTGGACCTTTTTTTTTTTTTTTTTAATCAAAATGGTTACTGAGAGTAATGGTCAGTTGCAGCTCTATGATTATGTATGAGCAGAGATCATTTTCAGTGCCACACAGACTCCACAGAATTGTAAGGCAGAGCGGTGCCAGGCTATTTCAATGATCGCATTCTGGTTGTTTGTTTTTCTTGTTGTGATTGAACCCAATATGCATTTTAGTGCTGCGTGTGAACGGGGCCAACGTCTCTCTTTCCGTGAGCACTAAGCTAGCTGTCGCTCTCTCTCCTGCTGACAGACGGATTCTGGCTCACAGTCATATTTTGGTTTTCACTTGAGCTTCTTTTCCTGGCTGGCTCAGTTTTTGTGCGTGTGTTTGGAGAGGGAGCCAGGGTGTGTGCAGGAGTCGGTCTGTAAAGGAACTGAGCAAAAAGGGGGGGGGTGAACATTTTACATAGCCAGACTGATTCTAGAAAGTAACAAGTCAACATTTTAACCATCATGAGGGATCTGATCTAAGAACTACGTCACTTTGTTTTCATCTGCAAACTGTGGGTTTTTGGGCGAATCTATAATTTTGTACAAGTCTGAACTCTGTGGTAACACACACACCACACTCCCCCAGGGTTTAGCAAATTTTTAAAATTCAGCTGTGTGAGGTAAGGTTACTGAGTGTGGTACACACACCTATCACATTGTGGCAAACGGAGGGGGGGAGGAAATGAAAAGAAGAGGCAGCGAGAAAGTGAGGTATGGTGTCAACGAGGGCAGCTGCTGGTACAGCCTGCAGCCAGACAAGGCTGAAATCTGAGACTTGCACAACCACAGAGCCGGGTGGAGGGAGGGGGCAGAGAGAAAGAAACACAAGTGAGAGAAAGAGAGAGAGAGAATGTCCATCAAGGAGAAAGAAGGCAAAATATGCAGACTCAAAGCAGAGCAAGCATGCAAGAAAGTGTAGGGGAACAGAGGGAAAATGGAGACACACAAGTGTAGCAGGGGCAAGCAAAATGAGTAAGAATCAAGTGAAAGAGAAATGATGTGTTTTCGAGAGAAGAAGGGGTTATGTGTTTGGGTAGGGAGCTACCAAGAGAGAAAAGGGGAAGGGTGTGAGTGAGCATGCTCTGTTTGGACTGACATTGGATGCCGGCTTGGCTTTTCTCTGTCTTGCACACACCCCAGCTGCAGTGACCACCTACCACACTCCAGGGGACAGAAAGAACATGGCTTAGGAAGAAAAGTCAGAGAGACTTTTGTTTGGGACTTTCCCTTTCTCTTTTCTCTTTTTCCTCCTCTCTCTCTAGCCACAGCCTCCTCTACTTCCACCGGGGAACCATAAGAGAGCAGGGCTTTGTTTCCCAATCGCCAAAGGATTATTCTTCCAGCAACTGTTTTACACCACACAGGATTTGTTGTTTTTTTTTTCATAGAAACAAGGCCCTTCTCTTGCCATGGGAATTGTGCTTTTGTGCTGCAAACCTGCAATTTTGGGAAATGGTTTTGGAAGCGGATATACCTGTGTTTAAAAAAAGTGGTGCAGTGCCAAACGGTCCCTGAAGTTCTGGCACCAGGAAAAACAAAAGGTGGAACTTTGTGAAAGGATAATTATCCGGTTGTTGGAGGCAATCTACAGTGACTTTGCTAAACTGTCTCATGTTGCTTTTTAGTTCCTAGTGGCTGACTTGGGAGCAGCCAGGGAGTGGCAGGTTGACCAACCACACACTGACAGACTGCTTACAGTCTACATTAGAGTCAGATTATTTCTCTGTGCTGCAGCATGAGCAGCCTAGCAACCTTCCTGGTGTTCCTGGTGGATTCCTGTTCTGCCTGCTGTTCCAGGGACTGAGGGACTTTAAAATCTTCTAGTTTTTTGGATTCTAAGGACACAAACATAGGGCCTCTGGTCTCCCCTTGTCCCTTCCCCTTGTGGGCTGTCATTTTTCCAGCCATTTAAGCATCTCCTTGCGCCGTTGTCCGGGACACAGCCCTCCATTCTTTCATTACAGCTTTCCCCCCCCGGACCCTCATGAGCTCATGCTCCCTAAATGGGGGACCAGAAGGATAAAATGTGATCCTCTGTTATGTGGTGTGTTTTGGGCAGCAGCAACAGTGTGTGGTTTCCATGGAAAGCGCCAGAGGAATATGGAGCTGAGGGTCTGCGTGAATGCTCTTCCCCTATGTCTCTGGTCCAAGTGAAATCGAAGCCGGCTTGTGTAGCGCTGCAAGCTCCGCCCTGGAACTCCTTGTTCAGACTCTTCTCATGTGTAGCCACGAGAAACGTGCACAGGACTAAAGGTGAATGAGTTTTAAGAGACAACGCACATGGACGCGCACTCACTCCTGCAAATTTTTCCCACCTTTTTCTCGTCATTAGCTTAATGTGCGATGTGCTGCCGGGCCCTCGTAGCCGCGGCCAAAGGTGTTGTAAAATGTTGTAAATTCCCGTGCTCGGACCAGCTGCAGCTGTGTGTGTCTGTGTGTCTGTCAGGTTGATAAATTGACACTTTGTGCACAGGGAGCTCAGCTAGTAAACGTGTATGTACTGTATGTTGAATAACTTGTGTGTGGGTGAATACAGAAGACGCTTTTAAGCAAGCGTGCCTGTGTGCATTGTGAATTATATGCTGTGTGTGTGTGTGTGTGTGTGTGTGTGTGTGTGTGTGTGTGTGTGTGCGTGTGTGCGTGTGTGTGTGTGTGTGTATGTCTGTGTGTGTGTGTCTACGCTGTACAATGTGTGTGTGTGTGTGTGTGTGTGTGTGTGTGACTGAGAAAAAGAGTGGGCCATGAGTTGAGAACAAAGAATGGCATGTTTGTGTTGAAGCCCGGCTTGTTTTCTGCCTCCCCCTCTGCTCGTGCTTCTCCTGTCTGTCTCTTGTCCTCTTCCATATCCTCTTTATCTGTATTCTGTAGATCCCCAGTTGTTTGCAACCCTTTCCTTCCTCGCCACTTGTTTGTTTTTACTTTTTGTGTCTTGTTTCCTGTGTTTAACTCTCACTTTTCATGGCTTCAGTGTACAATTGGCCTCTCTCAGGATCTCCTTGAGTATCTGCATCTAACAAACCCATGTATGCATATTTCTTGGCGTTACGCTTTAGTTTGCAGACAGTAGAGACAGGAGAGAGGGGGGATGACCTGCAGCAAAGGGTCCCGCACTGGTCCAAACCCAGGCCGCTGTGGTCCTTGAGGGCCTCGTTATATGGGATAATTGCTCTACCAAGTGAGCTTCCAGGCTGCCCCAAGTATTTACCTTTTTTGTATCCATCTGTTTGCAGGGCTGAGGGCCATGTGTGTGCAGTGTTTTTGTAGCGTGTGAATGTATGTGTTTATGTTTGGTCTAAGGCAAGTTGGAGCTCGCCGCAGAATGACTTTAAGCGTACATGGGTTTTTTCACGATAAGACGCCTACACACCGCCATCGCAATGTATGTAATTTCTGCCGCTCTGAGTCAAAACGGTGATAGAGGCGGACTTTGATGTGGAGAAGCAGCGTGGGATAATGGGGGAGCACCACTGCGGGTGAAAACAAATGATTGTGCTCCATTACGAGTAAGAAATACAAACAATAGTAAGTGATTAGCTATTTCACCACCTTCCTTCCTCACTCTCTGCGTTTCCCCATAAGTTATAGCAACTAGAGGGGTGAACGGGTTTGACGCCATTGACAAGCAAACAATCTTTTCCTTGAATAAAATGAGTGAGTTTGAAAATAGTTGGAAACATTTGGGACATAAACTATATACCATAGGTCTAATCGGTTTTAGACATTTTAATGCAGAAATACTAGATATTATGCCTCTGAAAGCATTTTCCATTAGTGTTTTGTTCAGATAATTTGAAGCCTGACCTTGCCATAAACTCTGCTCTGATCTGAAAGACAAGAACTCTGCACACTGAAATAAATCAGATTTCCCATTGTGAAATAGTGAGGATTTGTTTAAAATGGGATCCTCCATCCTCAGCGTGTGATAAGCAGGATGCATCAAAATCGATCTTGCTTTCCCTCCACAATGGATGCTTTAATGTGTGCTGTTCCATTAGCCCAACAGTCGCCACGTTTACATGCACTCAGTAATCCAATTCTCCAATTAAGATATTTATAAGGGTTTACAAAAACATGTTTGCTTGCTCTACTCATTCTTCCTGTTCAGATCTCTTCCTAATGCACTTTCACTGTAAGTGCTGAGGGGGAGAAATTTTTACATTCTTACCAAATGTGTGTTCAAAAGCGTATCTGCAGCTCATGTTAGGTTTCAGACATCCAAATGGGACAAATGAAGTACGTCTTCCAAAGTTACAGCCACTTTGGTATAAAGTAGTGGAGTTATAGTAACAAAAAGAGGGGATTTTGTACTAAAAAGACTGACTTTGGAAGAAATCCACCTGACTTCTTTAACTCAGACTGTAGTAGCCTCATATTTGCTTTCTATAAACCTTTGAATACATTAAGAATTGGGTTCTTAATTGTCCATATATTGTCAGGAGGGATTATTACAGCAAGCAAAAAAACCAAAGCTCAGTTTTTCTCCAATATTCAGTCTCAGATTGGATTTATTGGCCTTCAGGCTCACATGGTACGCACTAGCTATGGTTAATACACTGTAGTAAAGCTGTGCTTGAGGCCATTGTGTTTATATTGGCTTTATCATGGATATAGCTCATGCAAAGATGTTTCTCTTAATAACACACCCTGCTCGTTAGTGCAGCACAGGAAGTTTCTGTAGCTTAGAGAGTGATAACAACTGAAACAATAGAGAGTTGGAGTACAGCTCCTTCCCACTGCAGCATCTTTAGCATGTGTTGACAAGCAGTTTGTGTGTCGCACAATGCAGTAAAATCTCCTGGATTAAACCATGTATATGACAAAAGTTGCACTTCAACCCGGATGCAAATTTGCGTGTATATCCCTTTAAGTCTGGGTGGGATGTTCATGTGCTTCTTCCTTTTTAGTGAGCTTGTTTTTAAAATGATGTCATCGTTTTTAAGACACGTGACCGATGAAATGCATCAGGATCTGGGAAATGCTTAATGGGATCGGCAGTTTGCAGCTCTCTTAGTCTCCATGTGGACCATGGAGGTTTCTAAAGTCGTGCTGCAGATGGTCACAATGGCTGGCGACCTTAGTTCTACTTCTATTACAGCCTCAGTCACATGATTGGACCGTTTGTGTGCATGTAAACATTGCAGTTGTTGATCTCAAGCCCGAATCTTAGGAACAGAGGAAATGTCGCAGCGTTTCTTAAATGAATATCCTGTTATCTTTTAAGTGTGTGAAACTACAAACTGAATTAAGAAGACATGCTGGTATGCACTGTTTAAAAAAATATACATTTGTCTGCTGTGTTGTGTTTTAAAAACTGTTGTAGAGAGAGGAAACCCCTGTTGATGGTGTACGCACATCGACAGGGTTAATCACTCTTCATGTACAAAACTTTTAACAGTGATCTTATGGTGTGGACTGTATATGCACTTAATACTAGGACTGGGTTCTGAATTGTAATGTACCATTGTGTTTCCCACTTCAGAGGTATTGAAGCAGTGTCGGTGTGTTTCCACTTAAAATAATGTCAGTTTATGTTTGTGTCTGTAGAGAGCAGCTTCTCTGCAGCAGGTGTCTGTTGCAGTGGCTGCCACTGAGACTTTAAAGTACACTTTAAAGTCTGATCATAAATTAAAGCTGCTTTTTAAAGTTGTACCATGAATGACTGATACACAATATACTAAGGACTGAGATGTTGTTGGGCTGATGGGAGCTATGTGGTAAATTGTATATATTAGGGCAAAATCTGGGACTAAATGAACACTGTCCTTGATAATGATTTCATATAAAGTGAACGCTGAACTTATCAGACTGTGTTGCTGGACAGAGTTCACTCCTGGAAAATGATGCATCAGCATATTGTGAACACAGTAGATAGAGCCACAGACTTAAACTCGTGGATGGAGCTTTAACTGCTTTATGAAATATGAATTAACAGTGCTGGGAAAAAATCGCTTGTGGAGCCGGCAGACAGCGCAGTAGGAATCGATGTCTGGTCTAATCTGCGTTGCATTAGCGGCACAGTAAGTGGCTTAAATGCCTTGAATGAGCATTGCTTAATCTATGAAGTACACAAGATGGGCAGTGCCCTTCCTGGTTGCTGACTGCTATAAACACTGGACTGTGTCATCGTCTAAATCAGAGCTGCTGATGTGTGGACTGACTCCAGTGTGTGTGAAATAATCACTGTCAGAAATGACAGAACCAGGCCAGCACTGACCGCTGAATGAAGATGTTTGTGTACCACAGAGTACTGCGTATTGAGCTCAGTTACTACTGTTGTGGGGCGATGAGTCGGTTTGATTCCCAGCCAGTATTTTGTAGCCTTGCTCCTCCAAAGTTTGTTAACCTTCTGCTTTCTTTTTTCTCTTTTCAGAGGTCCCCACATTTCAAGAGAAGACGAAAGCCTTATTTGGAAATCTTATGGACGAAGGTGGGTATTTGTTTTCTGTTGGTGTTTTTTTTTTTCTGTCTATCTACACTTTGTTTGACAATGGTTTGCCACAGTGTGTGTGTGTGTGTGTCCTGATCTCCTTGTAGTAACACAGAAAGAGATGTGCAACAACATGTCTGTGTCTGCTACTAGCTTTCCATTTAGGCTCTCTGTTAGTGGGTACAGCTCTCTTTTTGCTCTCTCCTTTGCTGTTACGTTGCTCCTTCTGAACACGGAGGACATTGTGCCCAGTCATTGTTTGCGTCTGCTCTCCATTCTGTCATCATCCTTCCCTCCACCTCCTTGACTGCTCTGTCTTTATCTGCCTAACTGACTCACTCTCTGCTTCCCTCTGAGCTCATGCTTTCGCCTCCTCCTCTCCTCCTCACCTTTTTTTTTTTTTTGTTGAATGTATAATTTTAGGTTTAATAGGGTCTCTGGGGGGAGTATCATATCCCCAATGAGCGGCTGGTTCTCTTTAATGTCCACACTGTAGACCCAGGAGCCTTGTAAACTGTAAATTCAGACTGTAAAAGCTTCTTCTGAGCCACCTGCTTGCAGCAAACCAGGCACTGGGCCTTTGCTTGTCCCTGCTTCCTGGCAGTGTCACTTATTAACCCCCGCATGTGCCAACCAAACAAGTAACACCATGTTTATCCCCCCACTGGCTCCTTTTAGCTGGGCTTGTTGCTACTTGTTGTAGCCTTAAGTGCTGCCAAATAGCATTTGTGGCTGCTGTTAGCCAGGCAAGGTTTTGGGTCAGAAGTAATATTTAAACCACAGAGAAAACAGTTCAGCGTGCCCTTTTTAAACTGTGTGCACACACAACCTGGAAAAGCTGGAAATGTAGAGACTAGTTTTCCAGTCATGAAAACAGCTGGAATTTGATTCAAATTTCCTGGAAATCATTTTATGTTGTACTGGAATACTGGAAATGTTTTACTGTGTTTTCGCTCCTCACTCATATCGCAAAATTTTATGTAGAAAAAATAAATAAATAAATAATTTATTTATATATATATATATATATATATATATATATATATATATATATATATATATATATATATATATATATATATATATTATAGTGGGCTGCGGCAACCGCAGCAGAAACATCCTCTGTGGCGAGAACACCCAGAAAAGTGAGCTAACGCGGAGTGTGCTGTGTAAAACGCTGACCACATACCTGTAATAAACCTGAGACACTGATGAACCCTGCATCATTTAAAATAAAAAGGACTCAATGCTAGACCTGCAGGTAAATGAGGTGACCGTTTGCTGTCCCGGGTTGTCAATAAAATCTCCTGGAAAGGTCCTGGGAAAGGATTTCTTAAGAAGAGTGGGAAGCCTGTTACAGTGTGTGTTCTTATAGTCAGGACGCAGGCAGATGTGCAGGCAGATGTGCAGGCAGCGTCGTCAGTGTGTTCGTTGGTTAGTGCTCCCCCTTGAGCATTGGGAAGGTGGTGGAAAAGTTAGTTTGGAGCCCTCTGCTGTAACTCTCATGCATCCTGCTGTAAACAATTGAATGCCCTCAGTAAACAAATATAAACAAAAACATTAAATATATATGTCATAACTCTGTATAGTACACACAACAGGGTGAGGTCCAGTGTTGATCTGTCATACAGTCACTCTGCAGACTGAGCTGCAGTCAGTGTTCTTCATGTCATATTAACTAGTTAGTTATATTAACCAGTTCTTTTACCTTATCAGGAAGGAATGTATCTCCTCCTCATTACATCGGACTGTGATCGTCTAGATTGACAGACTGACACAGGGAGCTTTCTCTCTGGCTTCCATCGACACTCGAGCAGTCACGCACATCACAAGATGGCACTGACAGCAGAACCAATCAGCCACACCCAAACCGCACAAACATCCTCACACAGACACACGACACACACACACACACATCTGGCACATAGCCTCCAAGAACTGGTTGAATCCTCCCAATAAAGCTTTTTTTTTTTAAAGCTAAAGCCACCAATCCTGCTGATTGCATTGTCTTCAATCCGTATTTGCCAGGCCTGAGACGGTCTGTCCGAAGCCTCCCTCTGTTAGTTATTTCAGTCTTGCATGCTAGCTGACTGTGACCCTGGCCTTGGCCTAGCCGAATGTCCTCAGCTAATTCGGTCCCACCGCTCTTAGCACCGCTGCTAGCATGCTAGCAAGCTAAGAAGTTCTATTAATAGCTGCGAAGGCATTATCTCCATCACAGCAGACGTGTTTACAAGCCAGCAGGCACAGTAACAGCTAGCTAATACTGTCTCTCATTAGGCCCTGGTTTTTACTTGTGCAGTTGGCATGTGTTCGCATGTGTGCATGCAGAGAAGCTTTACCCCAACAGATGCACTGGCAGCGCTGCCAACCACCAAACTACACGGAAAAGGGAAGCTTATACAAGTAGCACTGGTGTAGATAAAAGCATCACATTTAGTATTCGTGGGTTGTCGGATGAGCGAAGACCTGGGAGCGGTCAAAAATGTCCGAAGGTTTTAAAAGACTGTTAATCAAAAGAAGCAACCACAAAAATCCTGAAGTGAAAAGAAGCCAAGGAAGCTGTTGTAAGACCACCTATGATGTTCCCTGACTCCAGCAGGATTTTCTTTCTTTAAATAGTGAAATGCTGCTAGGTTAGGCAAAGCAGCCGTGACTAAAGCTTTGGCAGCGTTTTGTCGGTGGGTGTTAATTTCCCAGCTGTTGCACTGTCTGTCTACATATCGCCGCTGCGTCTCACCACCTCATTTCTCTCCCCCTCCGTCTTCACTCCCACCCATGCCACCCTCTCGCCTCTCCACATTTGTTCCTCTCTGTTGTGGCTCTCCCTGTGGTGCGCCTGTCTGTGTGGGTAGGGGCTATAAAAAGGATGAACTGTGTCAGGTAGAAGAGTAGGTGTGGTGGTGGGGGGGGGGAGCACAGGCATGCGTAGTCATCCCACCCAAACCCCATCCTGACATGAGAAACATCCTCTTTATCCTCCTGTCCTTCCTTCCCTTTTTTGTTTTTTTAATGTCCACACCCACACTGCGGTGTCCACTCTTTGCTTATTATGCACATTTTTCATTCCTCTCTCCTCTTCCTCCTCCATTGTCCTCATCCTCATTTTTCCAGGTTTTTATTAAGTTTTCAGCTCTTTGTTCACCTCTGACAAACTCGCCCTGCTTGATTCCAATCCTTGCCGTCTCATTCCTCCTCTCTCCCTGCTCCTTTTTCCTTTTTTATCATCTCCTCCTCCCTCCTTCCCTCATCTTCAGTAGCTCTCCCTCTGCGCGCCCCCCTCTTCCTCAACACATACCTCTTTTCCCTGCCCATCATTTTTACTCCCCTCTTCCCTACCCTCTCCTTCTGTCTCTGCTCCACAGGCCATCCCATACTTAACCACAAAACCGTTACCAAGGCAACTACACAGCACGATAGGAAACAGCAGCACACACACACACACACACACACACACACACACACACACACACACACACACACACACACACACACACACACACACCACATCTGAGTTCACTTTACTGTCTGGTGGTTCTTTTTTTATATATGTGACTAAGAGAGTCTGTGCAGCTCTGACTTGATGCTGGGACAATAATAGACACGTTGTACACGGTAGGTTGAGAGCGTGGAGAGAGTGACAGGCAGTGACAGAGAGGATACCAACAGTGTTCGCAGCTCCATTCCTCATGTTCTGCCATAGAACGATGGTACAGAGTCTGTATGCTCCACACGAAATCCAAATGCCAACAACGTCTAAACTGCCAAAGGCTACAGCCATATTGGTTGGAAGCACAGTGGTTACAGATATTACGTGGCCCACAGCAGTTGCACAACTCCTGCCTGCAGTGCCAGTCATCCTGCACACTTCCTGATTTCAGACACTTGAGAGAAACCTTCCTGAGGCTCAGTAGCCAGGAAATACCTCTCTACGCCTGCTGCAAGTGCCACAGGGGCACGCCTTGAGATGGAGGCAGTAGACAACCTTGTGTTCCCTGCAGAAAACTACTCACCACAAGCACCTTTTATTTTTTTTATTTAGCATCAATTTTAAGGGATAAGATACAAAAAGGCACCTTTTTTTATGTATTTATTTAACGTGGATTTTAGTGAAAGTTTGGTTTGCAGGTTATTAATCAGTTCCACCAATCATAGCACTCCCTTTAAGCAAGCAGCATCGTATTCATTCTCAATAAACTCTCCGATACACAGACTATGTATCTCTGATAGTGTCTTCACCACGGCCCTCTCGCTCTCTCTCTCCCTTATCAGAAATGAGTCGCCAGACTGCCACCGCGCTGCCCACAGGAACCTCCAAGTGTCCCCCCTCCCAGCGTGTGCCCACCTTGTCAGGCACCACCGCCTCCAACAGTGACCTGGCCAGCCTGTTTGAGTGCCCTGTCTGCTTCGACTATGTGCTACCCCCCATCCTGCAGTGCCAGTCCGGACACCTGGTATGTAATGTCCAGCCTGGAAAGTAAGCAGAGCCCGCGGTTTGAACGCACTACGTTTCAGATGTCATATCGACTGTCTTGGATTACTGTGTGTGTGTGTGTGTGTGTGTTTGTATGTTGTACCTATTCTGCATAAAGTTAAATGCATAAAGTAATTCACATTGTGTCCACGTTTTGGATGAGCTGTAGTAGCTTAAATACAGGTGTACTAATGTCCGCTGTCTGCTCAACACTATTGATCATGAGGAGGCGAAGCAGTTCAAACAAAACAGTTTCTCTGTATTATTATACATTTATTTCTAGACTCATCTTGACCTCGAGTGTAACTCAAAGGAAAATGTTCAAGCTACAGTCTTAAATGTCAGTTGTACTAAAAAGTAAATATGCACATACTGAGAAATGTGTAATTAGCCAATCAGAATACAGGAAATGACAGACTATGGCCACCTGATGACCTTTCAGAATCCTCTCCCACTCCTCTAACAGAACATATCAGCACTGTGGAGGTAGAACTACTAACTCTTTCCATCTCTCCCTCCCCAGGTATGCTCCAACTGCCGGCCCAAGCTCACCTGCTGCCCCACCTGCCGAGGCCCCCTGGGCTCCATCAGGAACCTGGCCATGGAGAAGGTGGCGAACTCGGTCCTCTTCCCCTGCAAGTACGCCTCGTCGGGCTGCGAAGTCACCCTGCCTCACACCGACAAGACGGAGCACGAAGAGCTGTGCGAGTTCCGGCCGTACTCGTGCCCCTGCCCCGGCGCCTCCTGCAAGTGGCAGGGCTCCCTGGACGCGGTCATGCCTCACCTGATGCACCAGCACAAGTCCATCACCACACTGCAGGTCAGACGCCGTCTCGTCAGCTTAATTAATCCTGGCTCCTGCTGCTGGAGTACCCCTTTAAAGGGGGCCTGTTGTGTTCATTTCCAGTCCTATATTCTTAGTCTGAGACTCCAGTAGAGTAGCTTTGCATGATTCACTCTTCAAAAACATCCTTATTTATCTTCTGCCGGCCCTCAGTTCATCCTTTGTCTGAAACGAGCCGTCTCCCTAATCCCCTGCTCCCTAAAAGCCCACTTTCTTCAGATTAGCCAGTTTTGCAGAAGCCTGCTGAGGGCCAGTCAACACACACACACGTCAGCAGTCAAGCTCGTCCTCTTACCAGTGTGCTCTCAGCGTAATGGCAGCTTCATCTTAGCTTAGCTTGAACAGTAGCGATGAATTTGATGAATTTACTGTTTATCAGACCATAAATTAGACAAGAATTAAATTGGATAAATCATAGATTGGGCTGGGCTTCAACTCGTATAACGTTATTCACTGATTCTGGTGAAACTGGATCTTATTTTATGGCTTTCCCTCTGATGTCGTCCGGCGGCTCTGCTTTAACTTACAGTGATTTATGTAGTCTCCTGATGGAAATATAACCATAGCTACTGTTAGCTGCTGTTAGCTGGTCAGTAAACTCTGTTAGCACAAACTTCAGACTGTAGAGTTAGTCCTGAGCAGAGCAGTAGTATAACTTACTGTGTGGGTCTTCAGCCGTGCTCTGTCTGGAGCAGAAAGAAAGAAATCTGTGACGATGGTGTGGGATGAAACGTTGCACTGAGAGCAGTCGGAATCCTTTTTGCTCTCAGGGATTACTTTTACCCACGTTAACCTCATTATTTGGTCTTGTTTAATATCAACACCCAACAATGTGACATTTATAAATACGACAGAAGCATATTAGGTCCTCTTTTACCAGCCACCAGACTGCTGCTCATGATATTTTGTTTAGAAGAGACGACTGCTGCCTGCCGCATGTTCAATATCCTAAATATGTCGCTCCCCAGACATCCCGACAGTTGGCATTTCCATCGCTTTCACACTCCCTCCCACGACATCGCCGCGTTTCACAGGGCTCAATCAGCTATATGTGCATGCTGCATGATAAATAATGCTATTTTAATTTGTGTGTATTTTTTATTTTATTTTTATTCTAGTTTGAAATGTTGGAATTCTCAAAAGCATTTAGGTTTCACTGTGAAAGTAGATTCACTGTGTTTTGTAACGGATCTCAAGTTTAGAGCCTTATTAAACTGTAGCCTTAAGAAATGATGACTCAACCTGTAAAATGTGTGTGTGTCTGTCCAGGGGGAGGACATCGTCTTCCTGGCCACGGACATCAACCTGCCGGGCGCAGTGGACTGGGTAATGATGCAGTCCTGCTTCGGCTTCCACTTCATGCTGGTGCTGGAGAAGCAGGAGAAGTACGACGGCCACCAGCAGTTCTTCGCCATCGTGCAGCTCATCGGCACTCGCAAGCAGGCGGAGAACTTCGCCTATCGGCTGGAGCTCAACGGGCACCGGCGCCGCCTGACCTGGGAGGCCACGCCGCGCTCCATCCACGAGGGCATCGCCACGGCCATCATGAACAGCGACTGCCTGGTGTTCGACACGTCCATCGCACAGCTGTTCGCCGAGAACGGCAACCTGGGCATCAACGTCACCATCTCCATGTGCTAAGAACTTTCAAAGAGGAGAGGGTCAAAAAGTTACAGATTGTCAGGGGGCATTTTTTAGGGGGGTCAAATCAGTTGTGACCTCACAGCGCGCCCCCTCTCTGCCTCACCCCTTGAGACGTGGAACTGGACTGCCTGATCGGGCAGCCGCGGAGGCCCAGGGGGTGGGATGGATGGATGAATGAATGGATGAGTGGAGGAATGATGAATTAACACAAGGACACAACTGTGTAGTGATGGCTATAGACTCCTAAACAAACACACACACACACACATAAACGTATATATGTGAGACTCGTGCACGCACATGCAGTCTCGCGCTCTGTCGGTCATAAAACAACGGACACAAACTGAAAAGCTGTTCGGTCAAACCCGCTTTGTCAAACTCTCGTCCCTTCAAGTGATCTCCCGCCACTCGTATTTTAGTGTCGCTCTCTCTTCTTCCTCTCAGTCATCCTCAGACATTTCAGACACTACAGCTCTCCGACCTTCACTCCGAGACGGGGGGAGGCCGGTCGCCACCGAGCGGCCCGGCGCCCCCTCTCCCTCCCCACCGACAGCTACACACTGAGGAAAGCTATATTTCAACACGGACTCCTGGTCAGTGCTGGGTAGCTAGCTACCTATCTAGCTCCCCCTGCAACCTCCACCTCGTTTCCCTGCTGTTTGTAAATCCACCTCAGACCTCCCAGGATCGAACCGGTTCACCGACTCTCGGCTGTGGCCGGGTTTCACCACAGCGGGCGTCTTCATGCATTAGCTAGCTTAAACTGGAACCCAGATCCCAGGAAGTTCCTTATCGCAGATTTGGGTTTATATCTTAACACGCGACTGACGGCGGCTATCGATCGGCCGGGACTGGAACCACCACCCGCATACGGGGGACGGCTGTAGCACCCCGAAACCCGCCCAGTTATGTCCAGGACTGCGGTAAAGGAACTCGGCCTGTAGAAGATCCGTACAGGCTCATCTGGGTTCCCTCAGGCCAACATCTGGTCCACCCAAGGTTAAAGATTGTGCATCGGACGCTCTTTAAATAGTTGACTGTCGTTGTTGATAGTTATTAGAACAGACTCTGCTCTCATACTGTACGGATATAAGAAGGCCCTCAGCTCCATCAGCCCCGGACTCCTTTTTTTAGTTTTATTTCCACGGAACGGACGCGGCGGTGAAGTTCTCGCACACGCCCGTTCTTTGCATCGCCGGCTGTGTGCGCAGGTGTAATGGTGGATGAATTTGTTGTGTGTCGGAGTGGCCGAGGATCAGAGGGGTCCTTTTCGTTTTTTGTTTGTTGGTTGTTGTTTTTTTTTTTTTTTTTTCAGAACGAGGAAAAAAAAAAAACAAACACTGCATTTCAGTTGAGTCAGTTTTCATTTATTTCTCAAGTCTGTTGTTTCTTTTTAATTATTGTAGTTGTCTTTTTTTGTATGAGTGGAGAGAAGGTGTGTGTGTGTGTGTGTGTGTGTGTGTGTGTGTGTGTGTGTGTGTGTGTGTGTGTGTGTGTGTGTGTGTGTGTGTGTGTGTGTGTAAGATGGACATGTGGCATAAAGCCTGCTCCCTCTCTTCCTCCTCCTCTCCCCCCGCTGCTTTTTCTTCCCCTTTCATTTCTGCTCTGGCTCCATCTCGCTCTGTCTGCCAGCCTCAACCACTGATTGACTGATCACCCAACCATGAATGAGGGACAGTTTCTACCGTTACAATGTTGCTATTGTTATTATTAAATGGAGATTATCATGATTATCATTTTTTGTAATGACTTTTAAAAACAAAGATTAAAAGGCAGTTGTAAAACTTGTGGCTAAACTTCAGTGTTTGTAGTTAAAAAGCAAGTTGTGTCGTTCTTCTGAAGGTTTTGTTTTTTCAGAGTTGGATTGTTTTTTCTTCTCATCTATTTGTCTCTCCGTCCTCTTGTTTGTGTGGTAAGTCTTTTTTTTTTTTTTTTTGTCTATGAGGAGGGAGGGAGGTCAAGCCAATCATCTCTCCCTTTCTCTTCACGTGGAGTCACAGTAATGTTGCTGCTCTCCCTCAACTCCTTTTTTCTGTTTTGTCATTAAATAAATCTATCTTTTTCATACCCGGTGCCTTTTCTTCTTTTCTTTTATCGTAGGCCTCCCTGTCTGTATGCACCTGCACGAGGTTCACATTATTCCACTGATTGATATTGGTGGTGTTATTGGTTATTGGTTGCAGATGTACAGGGGTGTTTCCAGACTTTTTTAACTGGAGGGGCACCGACACACACGGGTGGCATTAAGTATGTACTCTCTCCAGTACTGTTTATGGATCCCAGTATGCAGAATATTCTGATAAAAAAAACTGCATGGTATTAGCATAAAGTGGATGTGTCTGCTAAGGGGAGACTTATGGGTAACCATAGAATCCATTCTCCTTCAGATATTTTGAGCTCAGGGGACACTTTTCGCCATAATTTAGCCTAACTTTGGAGTGTTGTAGCCCCCATCCTGACATCCTGGTAGCGATGGATTTGTTATCTTCTAGTTTCATATGCTACCAGTATCTTCACCCTCGCTTTAAAACGAAGCCCGCTGTAGCCTCTGAAAGACACTGCGGAGTGGAAGAGGCCAGGACAATGGGGGGGGCACCGGCCTTTTGGAAACACCCCTACAGATCTAAACAATTCAAGGAAGAAAGTGCATTCAACGTGTTTGTTAGGCCTCAAGGATACATACAGTACGGTTTAATATGTCCTCACAGCCTCTTCAGATACACTGAGCGCTCCAGTCAGCACATTCATCGATGCATGATCAAACATGGAAAAAAAGGTTTTATTAGGAACATTTCCACGGCCGCTGGGCAAACTCCAAGCTGATGAAGACCATGTGAGCCCCCAGAACCGATAAGCTCGAGGTAGGATTGATTTGTCAAGGTGTTTTTTAAGGTCAACAAGGCAGTTTGAAGTGCAACGAAATACTGAACAGGGGGGCACTTAACGGCACCTTTCTAGTTTTCACACACCAGAATTTCGGATAAGTTCAGCATCTTGCCCGGGGATTGAACCGTTCTACCTGCCGAGCCACAGCCACGCCTCGTTCAAGCCCACTATTGATAGTACCTGTTTGGCTGTGCTGGTAGAAATGCATACACATTTCATTCCACAGGCTTTTTTCCTAAAAGGCCTGATGATTTCTCTGCAGCTTTCCTAACATCTTTTGCCATGAAATCACAGGAGAAAGTGGAAATTGCAACAAAAACAATATTGTTTCTGTATAATTCATTAAAAATCAAAGGCAGCTTGTTAGAATAGTTTGGTGACATATGGCTCAATGTTCTGCTATGATTTGGTCTATGACTGGTGTGATTGGACATCATTTCGAGGTTGAATTCACAGGGATTGGTTGATCTTGCGTAAATAAACAACTTCCTGGAGGGACTGAAATATACAAAATGGAACCAGTTCATTCAGTAATGGTTGATGAGAAACTTCTGGAAGCTTGCAAGAGCTGCTATGAAGGAAATGTTTTTGCATTTTTTTTTCTAGAAAACGATGTGACGAGGAAGTCCCCTTCAGGAGCGAGGTGGTTAATTTCCCACCGTTCCTTCTGCTCGGTACAGTCGGGCTGTGTGTGATTGCCCCCCCCCCCCCCCCGCCGGTGTGAATCTGTGCATCTTTATTACCGCATCAGGGGAAAATGTACAGTCTCAGCAAATCTTAAGCTAAATATGTTGACACTGCTAATCCATATTACCAGGCCATTCATCACGAAGCACATGTTCTGTTTCAGCTTCTTCCCAAGATCAAATGAAATGCCTCAAAACACGAGGGTCAAACTAAATCAATGCTGTTATATGCTGATCTGGAATCAATACGCGGGGTTATACACGGAGCGCGTTACGTTCAGTTACTTTAAGATGCTGGTCAAAACTGAGGCCTGATATAAAAATGCCTGCGATGCTGTCCTCGATGCATCTGTCCGCCTCCCAAGTTTATCATTGTTAAGTAGGTCTGTGGATGTGGGGCAGCCTGTGAGGTCAGATAGGTAGATCAGACAGGCAGCGTGGAACACAGGAATAGCTTCGTTCAGCCGCAGGAACACTAACTGTTTCTGCTCAAGATCATCGAGGAAAATGTCTCTGCTAGTGCCTCTGAGCAGACTTCAGTCAAAGGTTACACAGGGCTCTCTCTCAGTCACAGTAAGGGACTGTACAATAATGATCTGTGGGTGGTGGAGGGGTTGGAAAAGGGGGAAGGTTAACAGTTAAAGCCATTAGTTGACTTGTTGTCGCATGTTTACGATATTAATTGAATTATTTAAATAGATGGTGCTAATGGAAAAAGTAAAAGTAATGATTCTGAATGTGTCGGAAGCATCAGCTCTGAATTGTTCTAAACATGGAATAAATAACTTCCAACTTCACAAAAACAAATACTCGCTTATCGCCATGATGGATGATGGATAACGAGACGAACCCGCCTCGTCTTCATCGTCCCAGGAGTCAGAGTCCTGGTTGGAGCCGCGGTAAATCCCCTGGCCTCCATCCGGTTCATTCGCCTCTGGGTCCCTGAAAACCTCCTCCTGACAGTATAAAGCTCCCATGCTAGTGTCAACGAGCTCCTAGTCAGAGTACAGTCAGCTAATAACACTGCTAATTAGCTAATGGCAGCTAGTACAGTTAGCACCGGTCAGAGACTTCCTGTGCTACAAGAGAAAAGATCCATGTTGCGACGATCCTGTGGTACTTGATGCACCTCCTGAACACAGTGTGACATGGTTCCTGCCACTATTCCACTAATGAAAAGTGGCTCAGCACATCTGAAGCAATGAATATAAACATTAGTTAGTTATGTTATATTGACCTGATTCTCTTTCAGAGAGAATACAGATAACAGAGCTTTCTTTCAGTCATACATTAGTTCATGTATTTGATCCCTGTACAAGCATGCGGTGCAGATAAAAGAGATTTGAATATTAAGAACAGGGCAGAGTCGTCTGAATTGGGATTAAAGACAAATCCAGACTTGCTGCTTCAACCCGTTAGTTCCCCTTTCCTGCCATCATGTGGTCATAGGGGTCCAGCCCGTCTGCAGGGACCACACCTAAAATCAGCTGATGTAAGAGCATACAGTACGGGCTCTGTGTGTGTGTGTGTGGGGGGGGGTTCTAACATGTGAAGTGGGCATGCTGCCAGTACGTTAAGCACACCCCAAGGGCCTCTGGGTAATTATGTTATAGGTTCAGGTCATCCATTCACAAGAGGGGAAAATGTGTGTTTGTAGTGGTGGGGGGGGGAGTCCTAATACTGGGGTTTAACTGAGACTGGGTGTGTCTGCAGTGAACTCGCTGTGACACACATACAGTGTACATACATGCACACGGGCATCATAAAGGAGCCACATATAAACACTGTAATACTGCAGCTTAAGTGGTTTCTTATGTTGTGACCGAGAGGGGGGGGGTAATATATGTGGTGGTACTGTACACAGAGAGCACCCAGCTTTAATAGGACTTTACCAGTGAGCACATTTATCTTTCCTTTAAGACTAAACAGCAGCCCCTTGAGGCCGAAATCAACATTACACCAAAAAATCTAAATTTAAATCAGAAGGCGCTCCACACATGAGACGGGCTGATGGTGGTACAAGAGGAAGGTGGTTTCATCCTGAGGAGAGCATGAATGGAAAATTAAAGGGGAAAAGTTTATATTTCTTGTGTACAAGGTGATATTTATCTGCAAGATGGTTTTCATTTATTGAAGGGATGAGATTGTCAGAAAATATCAGCAGAAAATACATGCTGATATTGTGCAGTAACAAATTCACTCATTAATTACACTGCAGTTACATGCATGGTACATTTTCATTGCATTTTAAATCTAATTCTGTCAGAGGCCGACCTACAGCAGCAGTTTTGGGCTCCATGGCCTACAAGCTAATGAAGGGTAGTATATAAGATTATACGTTACCGTTGATGATGACGGCGATCTTGGAACGCCACAGCCAACTGAACCTGATGAAGAGAGCAAAACACTGATGACTTTCAGAATGCTTGCTTATTTCTCAGTTTTTGAGATGCTGCTCCTTGATCACAACTTACTTTTTCAACCTGTGAACATATCCTCCATTCCCTTTTGTGCATTGCATTGTGGGACAAACTGGTATCCATTAACGGCATACTCCAATTAATCAGCCCTTTCTTTCCCCTGGTGCAGTTAGATTTGTCATTTTTGCAGCACGAACCTCAACAAAAACTCTTTGATGTAGGCAGTGATGGATTATTTTGTGGAAATCTGGCAGTTACACGGATAATCTTTCTCACTATGTGATGGACCTGACGGAAAGATGGACGAACAGTCTGACAGTCAGATTAATAAACCTTTATCTGACTCAGCAATATAATGCAGTCCAGCAGAAACACTCACACATACCTTTCAGTGCTCCTGTTGTTCTGTCCACCCCTGCACGCGGATCATTAAGGTCCTCTTTAGTGACCAAAGTGCAGGTTGTGACTAATGAGGCTCCAGGGATCTCATTTTGTAGCACACGCCAAAATAAAAGTATTGAATAAATGCACTGAAATGGAGCTGAATAATGTATGCAAGCACACCCAGTATGAGAGTCAACCAGTGTTCCCATAGATCAGATGAGTGATTCTTCTGCTTCATCGACCCCTCCAACAGCTGGTACAACAAAATATCTGAGAACTATGTGTTCCTGAGCCAGTCCATCACTCAGACTCTCACATTATCCCTCGCAAACTCCCGAGGTGAAGGCTGCAGTGTGTTAACAAACAGCTGAAAGCTTTCTCCACTGCCTCCCATCAAACAGCTGCATATCATCACCAAATCAGAGCACATCAAATCAAATAGAATGGCTGACGACAGGCCTGTGTGATGAACAGCTTCCTGGAAGATCATACACCTGCTACTGCTCAGCTCCAACCACCCTATCACACTGTTACTTAGCTGCCTGTAATACAACTTAAAGGTCCAGTGTGCAACATTTAGGAGGATCTATTGGCAGAAATATATAATAATAGAATTAAATATGAATATAATATTAAAAGGTTTGTTTTCATTAGTGTACAATCACCTGAAAATAAGAATCATTGTGTTTTTGTTGCCTTAGAATGAGGCGTTTTTATCCACACTGGGAGCGAGGCCGTCATCTTGAACTGCCGTCTTTCTACTGTAGCCCATAATGGACAAACCAAACACTGGCTCTAGATAGGACCTTTTGTGGGTCTCACAGCCACCGTAGTTTCTCCTACATGCTTGGAAGGTGAGCTGTGTTCACTCGCTCTACACAAGGGAGACAAAAACTCAGAAACACAGTATACAACAGGCTACATACTCACCTCAGTAGTATGACAATGTATTTCCATCTGTTACACGTTGACTGAAGCTGTCGTTATTTCATTAAATCTAAAAGCATGAACATGTTCTCTATGAGCAATGCACTGGACTTATTGAGTGAGTTTGGTAGCTTTTGTGTGTTGTGTTACACGTGGACAGGTCGCACACACCTGATTATTCCCTGCTTTAAAGGGCCACTGTGTGCGTCTGGGCTACTGTAGAAACACGGCTGTTAAACATGCCGGCCTCCACGGAAGGCGACTCACAGCGTCTTGGATACAAACGTTATTTTAAGGAAACAAAAACACAATAATTCCTATTTTCAGGTGATTACACATTAATAATAATGTAGTAATCTATGAATATTATATTAATTTATGCCAATAGAGCCTGCTCAATATTACACACTGGACCTTTAAAACTGCTATTATCAAGATGTTCATAACAATGAATCAACTGATTATGTGTAATAGGAATGGTCACTTGTAATGACAAACCCAGCTCTGCTTATAACAAAGTTAGTGACTAGCTGGTGAACATTCAGCAGCTATCATATATTTCCCTTTAGAAGTCGGTGGAGACCAAAACCGGAGCTAAAATCTTGACTCCCATTCGCCAGGTGGACAGGAACACGACTCCTGATGATGGCAGTGTTGCTCCATATCTGCTGGATGTGTGAATAAGCAACAGTTCACTAACAAGTTCACCAAAACAACCCAAAACATGTTGTGTTTACGGCGTCTCACCGCTGCCCCCAAGTGGCCAAAACCAGTTATTGCAGGTTTTTTGCTACTACAAATAGACACTAGTCCATTAGGGGCACACGATTAACTTTTTTATTTTTTTAATCATTTGACAATTTCTTCAGTGAAGGTCACATTGACAGAAAGCATCACAGCTGTTCTTGCTGCATCTTCTCTCTCAGTGCTTTGTGTAAAATCTCTTTTATACCTGCATAATTCTTTTGATGTGATACTTTTTTTTTTATAGATCTGTTCAAAATTTTCCAGTTGGGTCCATTTATCCTGACATGGCTGTCTAAATGTGGAAAAAAAGATGCTGCACGCTGGTGTTTCACATTACATCGCTACAGGGGAGAGAGAGAAGAGAAAAAAAGAGATCACATCTGTGGCACAGTCGAAAATCTATTTTCTTCTGCTTCAGGGTGAATTCCACGGAGATACACGTATACAAACGCACATACTGATGTGATTTTATCCCTGTGTGCGTCTAATACAGTCACTCATCGAAGGACAGGAACATCTGAGGGGATTAAAAAAAAAAGCACTCTCAAGATTTCAAGCATCTTTAATTCAACTCTCAATTTTTACAGTTATTAAAGGACACAAGTTCATCTTGAGCTAGTATGACATTCGAGTTGTGTTATATTTAAAAGTGATTTGTGCTACAGTTTTATACCCCACCGATATTTCACATTAATCAGAGCAATTTCAACCTGTTCTTTAGTCACCTCCTCAGCAGAAGAACAGCATTGTGGGTACAGACCACTAGTGCTTCTAATCTGTGGGGAATACTGTATGAACACCGTGGTGTAAGATCATATTTTAATTAAAGTTTCACATTTGTTTCAAATTTAGAAAATTAACTAAATACATCAATAAATAATATTGTTGAAGTTCCTTTATAAAATAACTTTTTTGCTGATTCTGGCGGCCCCTGTGGACAAAATCTTGTTTTATTAATTCAAGAGGAATCCATCCTGGTGGCAGACTATATAACTATAACTATATAGAAACGTGTTGCTGATGGTCTTGTTAGTTTAAACAGGTCATATAGAAGCATCAGGATTAAATGGATACTTCATAACCATTTATAAACTGCTTGTAGTACATTTAAATAATTGGAATGGACAGTCAGAAGAGATCGAAGTTCACAGTTCAGTTTCTATTTCTAACAAAAAAAAAATTCTTCAAGTGCACTTTTCTTGGAAATAAGTCTGGGGGAAATGCTGTGTGGGGAAAATAAAGGAATAAATAATTAAATATGTGCCAAAACCAAAAAAGAGCAAACTTAACTTAGCTTCATATCAGTTTTTACACTTCATTTTAAGTAGCAATATTATTTATTGATGTATACAGTTATATTTATGACTAGTCTCAACAACCATTGTGTCACTTTCCATATGATATATTGACATTTAATGAGTTTAATTCGTTGTGCCAGAAAAGTTGAATTTGGATTAAATATGAGATCTGATACTAACTGTAGTCCTTTGTTGTTATACAATGTGCACAGCTAATTCATCCCAAAAAAGAAAAAAACATCCAACAAATAACGGATGTTGGGCAACACTGGATCATAAACAAAATCATTCCAACAGGCTGCAGGTATCCAGACCATCACCACACACACACCATCTCAGCAGAATGCACTGAACTCAAACTGTGACAATCTAAACAGGTGCTCACCCATGTGCTGCGGCATTAATAAGTCAATGTAGTCCAATCCTGTCAACCTAGAACAACTGAGTGAACCCCAAAAAGCCCCGATATTAAAATACTGTGTAGTGACGTGAACTGGATCTAGTCAACCTTGGCTGTGAAGGGCTGGGTACCAATTGAATTGCATCGATACTACAGAGTATTAAGGAAAGGCCACTCTGTATCAAATGTCAACACCTAAGGAGTAAATCTGATCAGTGTCAGTGCGCTAATAAACACGCAGCAGGCCATCTAATGTTAGACGTCGTAGAGGCGTGCAGGAAACCCACTCTGAAGCGTTGTTGAGTTTCAACTGAATATGGACCAAGGTTTATGTAGGCGATCTGAGTGAGGGGATAAAATACAATAACCATTTTTCAGGACAAGATGGATTATTTTTTTAGGATATTTGGTGCTTTTAATCAGTTCAATTCAACTGAAAACTAATCTCTAAATTTCCAGTTTTCCAGGAAGCGTGGGAACCCTGCCAGGTCTTTACAACAGCTTCCTCGTTTGAAGTGAGTAATTTTAATTTTTTGAGTAATTTTTTTTGTTAGAATGGATTTTTAGAAAATTAGTATCGAAAAAAAGATCGTGGAGGACCCGGTATAGAAACAGGGAATCAGCATTGAACATTTTTGACCGACATCCAGCCCTCGCCAATATCTGATCAGCAAAGAACCAGCATAACTTCACATAATGGGAGTTGTTGTGAACTTTCCATGTAAACTGAATTCTACTTCAAGGTTTGACTCTGAATTGTAGCTTAATGAACCTTAAATTATCTCTTCAGTAGGAAAATAATCCTTTAAATCCTTAAAAGAAAAATCAAATCTCAACAGCAAAGAACCTTCAACTGGGTTAAAGATTAATAACATAACACATCACCATTACAGCAGAACACACTCTCTGATGGCCCCGCGGAATAACAGGAACGCCTTCCTCACGTCGCATTGTCAGTGTGTGTGTATTTCCATCTGTGTGTTACAGTTTGCTGGTCAGCTGAGGGTGTGTGTGGGTGCTGGCTGTCCCTGGAAACCCTCCATCGAAGGCGGTGTTCAGCACCTCGTCCAGGTTTCCGGCGGTGACAAAGTCAAGGTCGGCTCGGACGTTAGCCGGAAGCTCCTCGAGGTCCTTCTCGTTGCGTTTGGGGAGGATGACGCACTTCACTCCTGCCCTGTGGGCTGCCAGGACTTTGTCCTTGATCCCGCCCACCTGAGGAGGACAGACCAATCCGGTCTGTTAAAACTGCACAGATCAACATTTTACCATGTGTTGGATGTGATAACTCACCGGCAGCACCAGCCCCCTCAGCGTGATCTCTCCTGTCATGGCAACATCTGATCTGACCAAACGGCCGCTGAACAGCGAGGCTAGGCAGGTTACTATGGTAACACCTGCAGAGGGGCCATCCTTGGTGACAGCTCCAGCGGGGAAGTGGAGGTGGATGTCTGCACCTTCAAGCGGATCTGGACCCCCCATCACTGCAAATACACACACAAACATCCAGTTTATATTTCTGTAAAGGCACGCACAGTATATATCTGTATCTATCCATATGTGTGTGCGTATCTGTGTGAACCCACTGTTGGTGAGCTGGTAGGTTTTGGCGTTCGTTCGGAGCCAGCTGATGGCCAGATGGGCGGATTCCTTCATAACGTCTCCCAGCTGACCGGTCAAAGTGAGCTGACCATCTCCCTCCATTCGACTGGCCTCCACAAACATTATCTCCCCTCCGAGGGGAGTCCAGGCCAGACCCAGAGCGACACCGGGCAGGGTGAGCCGCTCAGACACCTTCCAACACACACACACACACACACACACACACACCACACACACACACACACACACACACACACACACACACACACACACACACACACACACACACACACACACACACACACACACACACACACACACACACACACACACACACACACACACACACACACACACACACACACACACACACACACACACACACACACACTTCAATGAGGGTTTGTAATCTTCAAATATTCAGGAATGAAAGTGAAACATAATGCAAACACGGCTTCATGGTGAGAGTGATGAAAAGACATGAAGGAGGATGAGTCGGGGGAGGAGAACAAAGAAAAGAAGTGAAGAAGACAAGATATGACAAGAAGTAAAGAAAACACCTGCTAGAAGACAGACTGTATATGTTTCACATCCTGCTACTCTAACTGGGGAGCAGTTTGTGTTTCCCTGCATTCCTCCAATCTGCATTTGTGTTCATGCCTCTGGCCATCGAGTTATGGTTGTGGCCGTGTTACAGGGTCACAACATGTTAACTCTATCTAATTAGCATCAAAAGATCTCAATGTGATTGATTGTACTTGGTTCAACATTATCAGTGCCAACATGTGGCCTCTGGTGATAATTTATTAGAGACTATTTTCAGGTGGACTCAGAGAGTCAGCAGAGGGAAAGATCTGACAGCATCAGACAGAAGGACAGAAACTTCATCTACAGCTCCACTAAAGTCAGTCTGCAGTCCAGTTTCTTTTTTTAGCCTGCATTTCCTGCAACGCGGTCATGTTCCCTTGGGAGACGTCAAAAAGGTCGTAGAGATAACAAATCCTTCGGTTGTTTGTTGCAACTACAGAGGAATCCAGCTCAAACCTAGACTCACAAGCCAGTCTCTAAACACTTTCTGCTTCATACAAAGGGATTGGCTGTATCTCCAGTTTGTTTGAGAATAGGGTGGAGATAATTGTTTCAGGTTACGTACGTTCAAGCAACTACTTTGCATTCATGAAATCCCCAGACCATTAGAAGGCGCTGAGATCTCTGATCGTCTGGTATCGTGAGACTCTCCTCTATCTATCCTTCACCACCTCTCAGGGCGCTGGGAAAGAGGTGCTTTGTTCTAGTTGTACTGCATGATGACACCTCAGGTTGCGGCTGCATTACTGCTGCATCTACTCTGACTTTGAACAGCAGCAGTTGTGGAGCTGTGAGACGTCTTCAGGCTGCCTTTATATTCATGAGCTGCGAAAGCTGTCCACAAGGTTCAGACAGTCGTAAAAATAAAAGTATTTGGAGGTTGATTCTGCACAGCTTTCTGTATCTGTGGTGTATGAACTCTGTTAATAATCTGCAGATGCTGGTCTCTCTGCCTCTTACCTCCATTTCAAACAGCGGCGGTCCCAGGATGTCTTTCAGGGCGATGTGGTCGATCACTATGGGCATCTCTGGAGGCGCCGCCTTGTCTGAACACACATGAAATTACATGACCCACACTGAGCCGTGCTTTTGGATGTTGGTTGTCATGAACAAATACAGAATGAATGCCTTAGAACTCTACAGTCAGTCAAATTGTTGACATTTAGCTCGCTCTGGCTAACGTTACATTACCAGAAATCAACTCTTCTACGTCGCTCAGCGCCCAGTGGCAGCACAATGCATGGGACCTGTCCCGGATTGGATAGAGCTCACTAACTTGCACATTCCTGTACAGCTCTTCATTAATCAGTCATATTGTACATATTGTCTTTTTTAATTGTCTCTATCTTTATTTATATTTGTTTAATTGTTATGCACCAGTTTATCAAGGAAAATCCTTGGATGTGAAAACCTACTTGGCAATAAACCCGATTCTGATTCTCATTCATTGTTGGTTTGGGTTGACTAGATTGGTTAGGGAGAGAATATCAGTGTAAGCCAATCAGAATCAGAGTAGGGGGGTCATGACTTTGCCGGGAGTAAAGATGCCAAGATGTTTTGTGGCTAATCAATGACGCTGTATCGGATCATATTTTAGGCTGTATCAGCGGCACCGGAAGTATAACAACATCTACTACATACTCATAGATTTCACATTTTGGGTGAGATGTTCCTTTGGAAGAATCAAACAGATAAAAAGGAAAAACATTTCTCATTCATGTCCATGTTTGTGGAATCAGGTGGCTGCAGAGTGTGAAGAATAACCACTTTACATAAGTGCACTGCAGGCGCAAATAAAATGATGGAAGTTCAGAGAAAGAGGGAGGCAGAAAGAAGAGGAGGTGACAACAGCACTGTAACTGAGACTGGCAATTCAGCTGTACACACACACACACACACACACACACACACACACACACACACACACACACACACACACACACACACACACACACACACACACACACACACACACACACACACACACACACACACAATATGCAAAGGTGCACAGAAAACCAAACACAGATATACATCAAACAGTGAGAGACATCAAACACACACTATCCGCATGGAGAAATGCAAAATACTTGCACAAGAACACACATCATTTGCACACACACACGGGCGCACACACACAGAGATGTTTGTGCTGTGTGTCTGTGACATCAGTTACCTGGCAACACAGAGGGCTCTCTACAAAGCAGCACCAAACAACAGCTTACACTCTCTGTTTATCCCGATGTACACTCGTTCTTGAAGTCACTCTAACGAAGGGTCTATCTTTAACTGACAGAGCTTTATCGTATTACTATAACCTGCTAGCATTTGGAGCGTATCCAACGGTCTCCTCAAAACATCTTTCACCCAGAGACACAGTTTAATCTACTGTGAACCCTGCAGACAAATAAAAAGTATGACTTCCTAATATCATTACCAGATGAGGAGGAGATAATGTACAATGAGCTAGTCTCCAGCAAACATTCTGACACAAGTCTTGACAGGGTTTATTTTCTAATGAAGACCAGCTGGCTGCACATTATCCACCTCATTACACAGCTACCGAAAGACATATTGTTATTCTTCAGGCATCCAGCAGCTGACATGAAATACTGTTTGAATGATATTACTATTTATCACACATATTAAAGAGTCTATAAAAACAGACTGTAAGTCAAAGAGTCTGTCTGTGTAAGAACTGTTTGTCTGTCTAACAAATAATCCACTCATGAATATTCAAGCTGATTTACTCTGCAGTACTAAGTCTGCTCAGTGTGGCTGATTCCTTTTCAAACAGACTAGCGCCACCTTGTGCTAAACAGCTGTTGCTCTGCGGCCGTGAGACACCCACACACGTGTTTCCACTCATCGTTACTAATTAGAGACGTGTGTTGAGTGTACAGACTGTGGCTGACATCTCTGTTAATGTGAGACAACTGCCTCATGTGAGAGATATAGCTGACTTATTGTAGCAGGAAAAGCACAGGTGTAACAGGTGTCCCAGTAAGTCAGGACAGTGAGCCAGCAGGAACAATAACCCTGGAACTAGAGCACCAAAATGGAACAGGCCGATGATTTATATTATTAATTATACCCGTGCTTTTTAGAGTTAAGTGACCTCATTTAATTCCCAGCATACCTCTATCCCCCTTCAACCTGAGTGCAGGTCTACTGACTACCAGGTCCTTCTACCTCCCTTGTTTGGTGCAGACTTTTGGACAGTTAGATCTGAATCAAAATTAAACAGTGTGAAACCCCCCCTGGACCACTGTCTGGACCAAACAGCCGAACCTTCATCCGGGGAAAGAAGGGGGTCTAAGCTCGGATCAAACTAGCATGAAAACATTTCGTTGGATTGTTTGGACTTTCGGACCAATCACAGAGACACAGACCGAGAGCTCACCTCCCTGCTGGGTTTGGGACTCGGGGGTCAAAGCCTCCGTCTTAGTGGCTCTGTGACCTTCAGCGACCTTCACAGCTACGGCTCTGCAGATAGCCCCGATCTTCCTCTCCAGGGAGCGCACGCCTGCCTCACGAGTGTACCTAAAGCAACAAACACAGACACACAACAGATGAACACAATTAGGTGGCGGTTTCACTGGCACTTCAGCTTCCGTTGCTAGGAGAGATCAATGATCAGTGAGAGTCAGAGATTGGGTCGAGAGCACAAAACAGTCTGTATCAGTGCTGCATCTAAAGGAACAAATCAACAAAGTGTTGAATGACAACAGATTTAAAAACCATGGATTTGCTTAAATACTTGAAGTCCTGACAACAACGACATCTCATACTGTCTGTGGAGAGCAGTCAGACACGTTTGTTAACCAATCTGGTTTCGACTGAATCCTCAGTTTCAGTTTGTTTTTTTTGAGCCAGTGAAATCATGAGTCCCCCTCGAAGGATGAGCTCCTAGCTGTGTGCTGTGGGCTGTTTCTATAGTAACCAGACGGGAGTGCAGCGAGTGTTGCACAGAGGCTCTGCAGGTCTGCAGGCAGCATACTGCTCTCCATCTGAAAGGACCAGAAGCCTCTGCATCGGTAGATCCATGTTGGCGGATTTCTTTTTAAACATGGCAAAGACAGTTTAAAATTGACTGTTACTCACAAATATTACCATCAGAACCACACTACTGCAGGAAGAAACTGTTGATGAATACATTAGTCCATTGAGAGATAACTGGATCAGGATTTGCTGCTTTTCTTTGTTTTACATCACTGTAACTTGAAGGCATTTGGAATTGAACTTTGATGAGGATGTGACGTTTTAGAACATTTAGACTAAATGATTAAGCAATCTAAAAATCATCACCAGACAGACTGATAGTGAAAACAAGCTGCAGCTCTAACTCACTCTGAGCTTAAACAGCCAAGAACTGTTGGAAGTCCAAGGCATGACTCAAATCTGAGACACAGACGGCCGCACTCATTCATCTGGCTCAGAGATGTTCTCTCTAATCAAAAGGTCATCCTGCCAGAGAAGCACTGGTCAGCATTCAAAACAAGTTGCCACTTAACCACTTGACAACTTAATGATACACTCTGATGACCAGAAGTGGAATTCCAAGTTAGCCTCAGACGTGAGCTGCCAGCTGGCCGAGCGCTCTGCTGCACATATCACACTCCAGATCGGTCCTTCGCAGGCTAAATGTGGGAGCTTTCCAGTGAACAATGTCCACATCAGTAGCTGTGGGCAGAACGGGGCACCAGCGTCTGTTCTGTTTCGACACAAACATGATGACCTTGTTTTATCGTGCTTTTATTCAATCAATTGAATCTTTTTCTTTGGTGTCATGGCTTGGAAACAGAAACCCCCTCAATCAAACTGTTAAATGGTTTGGTAGGGGGATTGGTGAGTCACACACACAAAGAAGATCTGCGTAAAGTTCACACTAAATCCCAGCGAGGGGCGGCACTGAGGAGTAGAATAATGGTTACCCGACTGGCCCGTACGCGCGGCCGGTACAGCTTGTGTTAATGTGACCTACAGCAGTCTCACACGGGAGACAAAGGAGCTCTCCTCTTCCCTTAAAGCCTCGTATTGTATGATGCTGCTGAACTGCCTCTGACAGCCTAACCAGGTGACCACTACTTCTTGATCAGCAGGTTTCCAGCACCGATACAGACAGTGATTATTAGTAATTAAGGAAACTGATAATAGGAACCAATATACATTTGCAGTAAAAATCTTGCTGTCAAAATTTCGTACATTTACTGTAAGTAAGTACAATTTTGAGGTGACTTTAAAGTATTTCCATTTTATGCTACTTTATACTTCCACTCAACTACATTTATTTGATATCTATCTCTTATTAGTTACTTAGCAGTTTCACATTATTAACGCAAAATCATCAACTAATAATTCCGATGTATTAATACAAATGAATCTAGCATTTTAAAATGTATTTCCTTTTGGTGATGAAGAATATGTGCATTAAATTAAATTTGCCTTGGATTTGTTCATCAGCTCATATGCATATACGTATGTGACACAGTCTGCAATGAGAACCACATCTCGCAGTTGTCTTATTCATTATAGCAATAAACAGTGATTAACTGGAACACATACTTAATTGTAAATCTAATCCCATGTATCTTTTTGTGTGTGTGTGTGTGTGTGTGTGTGTTTGTGTGGACCTGCTGATTATATCCTGCGTGGTGTCCTGCGGTATATGCAGCTGTTGAGGCGTTAGTCCATGCTGCTCCAGTTGGTTTGGGATGAGGTGACGGTGAGCTATCTCCACTTTCTCCTCCTGTGTGTAGCCTGAAACACACACACACACACAGACACACTTTAAAAGTCCACTCTACAGATTGAGCATCGATGCAACAGAAGCAGAGAAACCCAGCTCCTACTTTACCCACAATGCAACTTGAGTGCCAAAAGTTTGGGGGAAGGTGCGTAATGCTAGTAGGGGCTAATGCATCCTTGAGCTTTGATGTAGTGTGTTACAGTGAGTTACAGGTAGGACGGGTCATTCTGGAGAAAAATGGGTTCCTGGGAGTGTAACTGCCCCCTGTTGTGCGGCTTGCTCCTAGCCACAGTTTGATTCCCTTTTACTATCAACCCATAGCGTGACACTCAACAACCAACTGTCTCCAGATAGTGCAATATAGGGTAAAATGTATTAAAACAGCATCATAATGAAGATGCCCCAGATTGCAAATCCTTTTCTCCAGATGTAAGAAAACAGTAAAAATTTAAAAATTGTGATCGCAAAAAAGATTTCAGTATCTGTCAGTATGTCATATTGTACAGCCCAACTACTGTATGTTAGAGTGTGTAATAAAAACAATGCAGCAAGCAATAAATATCTGTCCTTGATTGTAGGTCATAACACAGGTTATCATTATCTACAGTTCATCCGTCTCTCCTGGATTTAATGCAGTTGTATTTTGATCTTGGATGGAGATACGTGGATATACGACTGTTAAACACAACACTGTGTTATCTCTGATGTTCTTTAAACATGTTTTAGAAGATAAAACTGTTTTGCCATCAGACTGTGGAGATAGCTGAAGGTTTTTTTTGTTTCGAGCTGTGGAGCAGTCTGTAGACAAAGCTGGCCATGGAGCTGTTGTTTCATCTGTTCCCTGCCTCCACTGCAGTGAATCCAATCACACAGCACTCTGTTTGGGATTAGCTATCACAGCAGAACAAGCAAACGGACCTCAACCCACCTGGTACCTGCAGCACCTCCATGCGGTCCAGCAGGGCCGGGGGAATGGTCGCTGTGGTATTTGCAGTGGCAATAAACAGCACTTGGGAGAGGTCAAAGGCCACGTTGAGGTAATGGTCTGTGAAGCTGTGGTTCTGCTCTGGGTCCAGGACCTAAGGAAACATGCCGAGAAAACCCGATGAGGAAGCACAACAAATGCTTATTAGCAGTTTTAGCAAGGGTTAAGGTTAACTGGCAGGTTAGGTCGGGAGCACTGGACAGTTCTGTTTAGCGAAGACATCCGATACGACTACACAAGTAATGTGAAAGAGAGAAACAGAGCCGACCTCTAACAGTGCAGCCGCAGGGTCTCCTTGCAGGCTTTTCCCAAGTTTGTCCACCTCGTCCAGGAGGAACACGGGATTATTGACGCCTACGGTCTTCAAACCGTTGATAATGCGGCCGGGCATGCTCCCGACATACGTACGTCTGGAGAAAAAGGGAAGGACTCCACTCAATTTCAAACAAACTGAAAATAACTCACTGCATGGTCGCACTGCCAACAACCTCATCTACATGCATTGTATTTTATTAATAATAAAACCTGAAAAATAAAATCACAGCAATGTTCTCCGTGACGAAATTACCTAATGAAAGCATGTTTCAAAGTGCTCACAAGCTGAAAGCATGAAATGTGAAGTTTCTGAGGTTAAAAGAAGGGAAATAAAATGAACAACATACACAACCACTCGAACTACTGAAGTGGTCTACCTTTGAGAGAATCTTCTATTTTTGAGTTGAACAAATTGTATAATGAACCGTAAAAGAACTTCCATCTTTATCTCTTGCACTCCCGCTGTTGGTATGCTGGACACATGTTTCTCATCTGGCTGAGAGAAGGAGTCTCAACTCTGTTTACTCTTCCTTTAAAATACCAGCATCAGCCTTGCAACCTGAGCTGAGCTCTGCTGCCCTGCTCACCTCTCTGCACACACTCACACGGAGACACAGGCTCCGGTACCTCGTTTGTCAATCGAACCCAACGCCGTGTACTAATACACGCAGCGTCTGCGTCTGTGCGTCCTGATACAGTTCAGACTCGACCGACAGAGGCTGTTAAACGACGAGCTGAACTGCTGAACTCTATTGATTTTATTTTTACTGGTTACAAAAGATACTGCGTAAGTGTGAGTCAATCAATACGCCATAGTTCATTAGGATTTTACTGTTAGAGTTGCAGTAAATTTTACTAGATGTATGATGTAAGAGAGAAAAAAACGCAGTTATTCCTCGAATTGATCCTCTAGTTTGTAGTCCACATTTGTGGTTCTCAGGCTCACTGTCCATTCAGCTGCACACAGATTAACACTGGAAATGACATTAGTGATGCCCTCGCTCTGCAGCTTAGCAGCGCGAATGTCTATCTGAGGTTACAACATAATTGATTTAAGTGTTCCCGGCATAATTGACGTAAAAGTCCCCGACATATTTGCCTCTGATGTTGTAATTTGACCATTTGGTTAACTTTTCTGAGGACATGTCCGAATGCGGAGGTCCACCACTGATGTGCTATCAGATCTTATAAATAGCTTCACTCTGGGTTAAGATCCGCTGCCTTTCAACTGCAGGGCCATAACATGAACATGTGTGTTTTAATAATCAGTCTTTTAAATTACAGACAGGTGGACTTCCAGGCACGCTGGAGAAACATCGGGCGGATTTTCTAGGCTTCAGCCACCCTGTTAAACTGTTCCAAATGGACTGGATGGATTTCATTCCCCCTCTCCAACTGGAGTCTTTTAAGAAAAACTGGTTATTTTTTTCTAACTGTGTTTAATTACTTTTCTCAGTGTGATGATTATGTATGGAATGCAATCCAAATACTTGACTATTGAGAGCTCATGTTGCACCCTCAAGCAGAGCGCACTGCGCTCCAATACACATCCACAAAGCCAATGTAAGCTCCAACCATAAAAACAATATATTCATGCTGCTGAGGCACGTTGTTATAGTTGGTGTTTCAATTATCCGTGTCCTGAAACTAGATTACAAAATGACACGCTGCTTTACCCTCAAACGGTAGAATTAAACGGGACCTGGGCTGTACTTCTAAAGACAGTGAATGGGAATCGCTGTGTGAGGGAGAGCGCTGACATAAATATAAAGCAGCAGCCATAAACTTTTGAAGTCAAGCATTATCCACAGAACCTATTCTTCAGAGGATAAATCAATCAACACCCCCCCCGGCAGCTTGTGGGATTAAAGAAACAAGACCCCCCTGCAAGTTCAGTACATACTGGAAGAGGAATCACCTCTAATCTCAGACCATAAATTCTTATCTTTGAGACGTCTCAGGACATATGTAGTGGATGTGTATATGTAATTGTCCTGGACTCGCCTCTATTTGTGTGGTCCATCTCCATTTATGGCCCCACTAAACTCAACAAGTGTACTGGGGTCATAAAACATCTGCCATTATGGACCTCAAGCAGTGCTGCTATTTTATCAGCGTACCTGTGTCCTCGGATGTCAGACTGGTCACAGACGCCTCCCAAAGCAATGCGGTGAAACTCTCTGCCCAGGGTCCGGGCTATGGAGCGTCCCACACTGGTCTTACCGACTCCTGGGGGTCCCACAAAGCAGAGGATGGGGCCCTAAAGACACAGCAGCAGCATGAAATTCACAGATATGATGGCGCTCATTACGGACATCCCTCTTGCTTCGTGCAATATATAACGCTTGGTCTTTACACGTGCAATGGACGGAGAGATCTATAAGAAGCACCTTCAGTGTAGTCTTCAGCTGTCTGACAGCCAGGTACTCCAGCACGCGTCTCTTCAGCTTGTCCATGGCGTAGTGATCGTTGTCCAATAAAGTACGAGCGGCTCGGATGTCCAGACAGTCTGAAGAGAGAGTGTGTGTGTGTGTGTGTGAGTGCGTGTTGGGTGGGGCAAATGTAGACGAGATGGACAGAACCGAGAAAGAAAGAGAAAACAATTAAATTAGTCAAGGTGAAGACAGTGAGGTGAGGTGGGAGCTGCAGAAACAGAGGGATGAGATGAAATTTGAGAAAGAGGAGGAAGAGGTTGAGGAATCTGATATTGTGGCTGACCACTGCAAATACATTCTCTCTTTGTATGGTACTGTATATGTGTATACGTGGCAGATTGTCGCCTTGGGATTGAGATAGTGCGGGTTCTCTTTTGGACATGAGTGATATAATGATGTAAAGTATTTCATTTAAAGCTGCTTTAGAACTGGTTTCAAAATGTCCGATACATTAGAATCGGAATATTAAATCATTTGTCTTTCCTCACTACATCTTACCCTGTGTGTAAAAACTACTGCTTAGGTTAAATATTCAATCTTATATAGAATAAGAAGGTAATACTTAGAGCTTTTTTTCACACAGGAAACAATAAAGAATTGGGCCAATACGCAGAATCAATAATGTAATTTGTATCAATAAAATGTGCATCCATAAACGAGAAGAGGGGCAGCGAAGTTAGCAGATACAGAGCAACATTAGCTTCATCTGGAGTCGAGTTTCTGACAACCTGATGAATGTAAGTCTTTTATCTTTTGCTCTACTAGCCGTGAAATGCTCCACAATGCTCACCAGCTAGTGGCTAACCTAGTCTGCCTGTTGTTTGGTGGTGAACACAGACTCTTATTGCTCTTACCATGTTTATTCTTACGCATCAAAATCAACCAAAGCAAATTCCTTTTATGTGAAAAACCTCATTTTGACATTAATCGTTTGAGTCAGTCCAAAAACAACCGAGAGCTCCGGCAGACACGCTTCTAAGTAAAAGAAATGCGCCAGAAAAAATATGAGACTGATTACGTTGACATATTCAGCACAGTTATCACCACGATCTTCCAGCCGCCACATGTTAAGCATTGCTTAAATATTAGGATCTGTTAGCTTAGCTCCATTAAAAGTGAAAAAAGATGGCTTTCAACAATGCCACAGCTATCACGCATCACTGACAGGCGGAATTGCTTGGCCATGGCGCACAGACACAGTGGGGGAGCATTAAAGATCTCAAACCGTATCCGAGGCATCTGACAGGATGCGTGACTCTTTATTTACCCTTGGTGCTTTTGCTCCATGGTAATTCTACCATTAGATCCAAGTAGTTTCTGGTCAGGGCGTACTCGGGCATGGACTGAGGCATCTTCTTCAATCTAAACACAAATGAATGAGATTAAATGCAGCAGCGGTCTGACAGAGGACCAGGACACATCAGTGAAATCATGCATTAAACAGAGCAGGGCCGTGTATGTGTTCTTTTAACAAAACATATATTCTAAAGTCATTTTGCACAATTAAATGTTTATATTATGTTATTTTTTTGTTTTATGTTAATAAAAATAGCCCCAGCCCCGAGCTGAAGGTGTAATCAGGGTATAAAGTCACCTCTTGAGCTCTTTGAGGCAAACTCTGAGCGCAGCTTCAGGCATGTTGGCCCCATGGACCTTCCTCTCCAAGACTGCAGTGTCATCACCATCCTCATCTTCATCGTCCCCGTCCAGGTTGAACTGCCGACCCGGGAACACTCCACCTTTACGCACCGATAACACCTGAACGGATGAGACGCAGAGAGGTGAACAGGCGTATGAACGCAGACATTGAGAGGTAAAGGAGAAATGCAAATGTTTGTTACCCTCTTCTCATTGTCAGGACTTATTTTTCTGGTCTTCTGCAGCAGTTTTAGCCCCTCTATCTGCTTGGTCAACATAGGCAAAGCCTTCTTAAATCGCTCCTCCAAGCTCACCGCATCCAGGACCTTTACAGCACACATGGACATACAAAAAATACGTTCATTTTAGAACATTTTAAAAACATTAAACCTCTTCTACTAAGTCAAAGTTCTTCAAGTTTTGAATTTTTTTTTTCTCTTTGACACCATCCTGTGGCAGCTTAAGATCAGACCCAGGCACCCTGAGTTTGCTACGAGTAAGGCGGCCCTGCAGCGAAAAGTTGAAACGGAATCAACTTTTGGAGAAACTTAAGCCAACGTCACAGCAATCCATAACCCGTCATCAGACCAGCCCGCTATCCAGGCAGAGTTCATGGACCAAACTTCTCTTTAGTGCCTCACCCATCTTCTGGATTGGAAAGGGTTAAGATTCCCAGCATCCCCACGTCTCAAACTGTTTTTTAAGTATCAAGTTTGCATTTTGGGTAAAACAGAACCAGTAATCCTTATCCGTTACCTGTAGCTTCTCCTTGTTTGAGGTGCGGATCATGGAGGCCACCACGTCAGGTAGAGTTTCCCTGGGCAGACTGTCCAACAGACGCCTGAACTTAGCCACCACTGGAACCGACATGTCCAACATACCTAACAACTACACACACACACACACACACACACACACACACACACACACACACACACACACACACACACACACACACACACACACACAAAGATACATGGGATTAGATTTACAATTAAGTATGTGTTCCAGTTAATCACTGTTTATTGCTATAATGAATAAGACAACTGCCTGTTTCTGGTTATTTTGATGAATTCTGAGATCCACAATCTGATTTCCAATGCAGCAGATGAATGTGAAAACATGCTTCTAGTGTCTGCACATACATCACACTGCACAGTGATCAAGCAGATTACTTGTAAATGGTAAATGGACCTGTACTTGTATAGCCTTTCTAGTCTTCCCATCACTCAAAGCGCTTTACACTACTGTTCACCCTTTCACACACATTCACACAGTGATGGGAAAGTCCATCGAACAGAAACTAACATTCATACACATTCACGGCATCGGGAGCAGTTTGGGGTTCAGTATCTTGCTCAAGGATACTTCGACATGTGGCACCAGGAGCCGGGGCTCAAACCCACAACCTTCCGATTAAGGAACGACCCGCTCTGCCTCTGAGCCACAGCCACCCGTCTGATTAATTATCTTTTACTTTATCGGGCTGGTTTCAAATCTGTTACCTAGAACAATGACCCCAGCAGATGGGTTAGACTCCGGAGGTAATAGAGAGTGACTGACACCTGCCTTCCCATCATAGTTTATTCTTCACCCTCATTAACCAAAGCAGCATGTCACAGTGTCAGAGACCGAACAAACACTCCTTTAAAGGTTTTTTGTGCTCAGTCTCAATCGGCTGTGGAACAGCTCCATGCACAGCAGGGTGAAGGCAGTGCTGCCACTCATGTTGTCCAGAACAAGTCTGTGGGATGCTCTGTACTTCTGCTATAAGCGGAACCCGTAAGGGCCTAAATTACTTTAGACAAGTGGCATAGACATCACAGGTCATGACTGGCTGGTCAAAGGGGAAGAGTTGGAAATGGTGGGGGAGGCTTTGGACCCCCTTGCAGTTTGCATATAGGTCTGCGATGGGAGTAGAGAATGCCCCAATCCCATTACTCATCTTCCTCTATAAACACCTACAAGGTCTTTGCACACATGCCAAACTTTAATTTGGGGCTTTTATTTGTGTAATACTATCCAGCCACAGGGGTTGGTAAGGCAATTAGTTATTTACTTTAATATTTATGTAAATGTTGTTGGCTGGATTGTAGAGTTGTTTTAACATGTAGGTGTCAGAGGTTGAGAGGGAGTAGCTGTCTGTCAGAACGACGCTCCTCTTCCACTGGAGCTCCTCAGGGCAACACTGAATAAAGCAGCTTAACCTTAAAAATGACAGTTTGTCAGACAAAGGATTGTTCTGGAGGCGCTAATCTAGAAAAAGGACTCAGATGTGTACGCATCCTGTAACTAGTTAATTTGATTGGTAAAACCAGTACAATGACAAGAAGCTCCGTCTCTTCCTCTCATTTTGTGAATATTTTACCTTTGATTAAGTTAATCAAGCACTCTGGGAATCTTTTTTCTCTTCTCTCTCAGTAACACACAGACGAGGTATACAAACACATACCTGTACAGCAGCCTGGTAGAACTTCTGGGATAGCTCCCCCAGCTCTCCATCTTCTGCTGCGACACTCTCTGTGGCTGGGATCGTGTACTGATCCAGTTTATCCAGCTGCTCCACCTGCGGTTGTATTGCAATAAGAGAGGCACATACTGCAGTTACACACATTTGTGTATTTGCATTTCTGAAATAACTGAGTGACAGGTGTTTGAGTCACAGGGACTCCCTTGACAGTGTTTAGTGTAAATAACAATACTAGAAGATTGGAGGTATTTGGATTACTGTTTTTCTGAATGGGCCATTGTTTTTTTTGTATCGTGCACTCAGGCGAGGACGCATATGTAGGGGGCGAGGTGATACACGTTCCTGCAGCTGGTTTCACACATTCTGCTGACAGTTGGCAGCAGCGACGCACAAATGTGCCAACAAAGCAAAGAAGGACGACAGACTAGCAAACATGAATGTAAACAACAGACAATAAAAAATCTGTTTTTAATTCACGGTTTTTATAAGGAAGAAAATGCATTTGTTTGGCCTCAGAGATAAATGTGTTGCATTTTGGTGAGACACTAAATGTAAAAGAACTTCACAGGGAAACTCCACAGGGCACCTCAAAGTCCTGCTTATACTAATTACAGTAGTAATAATATTAAACTTTCACTGGATGAATAATAGTGGGCTTTCTCACAAAGTGTAATTAAAAAAAAAAAGGCACACATAGAAAAGGTCCCTTCATTTTGTTGTGCCAATACTTCCATATTCAAAACATGGCTAATCTGAAACGACTCAATTTCACAGTGTAATTGGTTGATGATAAGAAAATGAACGATAATACCAGCGTTTAAAGGTCCAGGGTATTATTCAGGAGAATTTATTGACAGAAATTGAATATAATATTCATAGGTATGTTTTCATTAGTGTATAATGAGCTGAAAATAAGAATTGTAGTGTTTCTGTTAACGGGATTGTTGATCTTAAATAAACTACTGTCGGATATTAAACAAGGTTTACCTCGGCCAGGACAAAAGGCCGCTCCTTCAGCAGGCTTGACACACTAAAGCGGCACAATCCGGTGATGAGGAGGGTGTAGTGGGGCTTTGGCCAGTTACTGCCCACCACCTGCACTGCAATCCCTGCTGTACCAATTCTACAGAGAGACAGAGAGACATAGGAAGTGAGAGTGAGGCAGAGGAGGTGGCTGACAACTCAGTGGAGGAGGATCAAGCTAATTTGGCCTGTTATGAGCTTCATTCATTATGTTATAAACGATAATCTACCCTGATTGTTTTAAGTTTGTCAAGATTTGATCTTTGATCCCGACGCGACCTCTCAAAGAACCTGCTGATGTGGATCATATTTACTCAGTACAACAACAGCATGTGGCTGCGGTGATGGTTCAGACTGGGTAGCTGCACCAGCTCTGCTGTCTTCTCCTGCCCATTATTAACGTGTCCATTTTTCATAAACAGTGTTTTCGAATTCCGCCTGTTTCCGCAGCTTCCTCCAGATCGTTTCCCTGCAGCTTTCATTGTCCTCAGTGCACCGTGAGAGCACTGGTAGAAAGACCTCCAGGAGAAGGAGCGAGTCAGCCCTGTGGTGATTCTGGACTCATTATAATGATATGTGGTGCTGACACTTTGTCAAAACAGTGTGGGGGCCTCAATGATTCAAACAAGACAAGACTGGTCAAAACACTTAGACACTTAGTGACACAATCAGAATTTCTTTTAGGGTGACAGCTGAGCGGCTCAGATTGCAACTGTATGCCTGAGGATCATTTTCTATTTTTCTGTTCTATTATTCTGCTTCCTGCTCTTTGTTTTATCTTTGCTGTTATAGTGGATCCTGGTAACTAGGATTTTAATTTCTGAAAGACAAAGAAGGCAACTACTATATTTTTATCACTTTTCCTTACTTCTCCGGTACTGCACGAGCGTGGCCTGCAAATAGGACAAACCTCTCACTATCTCATTGCACTGAACAGGGACTCTAAACCTGAGCCGAAGGTTGTTAGCTGAAAGATGCCCCCTCTCCACGGACAACTTCCAGAGACGACGTCACAAGATTGCCGTGCTTGAAAGCAGAGATGCAGCAAGTCATAAGGTCGCGTCAAACAGCACAGAGCAGATCGCACAGGCAGGAAGTCAGACACAGAAACATCATAGAGAATACGGTCAATTTTCAAAATAAAATGCATGCAGACTACGGATCGAATTTCACGCTACATCAACATTGTTATCACCTGGCCAGAAGTCTATAAGTTAGAGGCAGGTTAGAAGAGATTTTATGCGGCGAAACACGCAATACCTAAACAAAGTACGGCAGGCAACACGTTGTAAAGACGCTCGGCTTCTGAAAAGCTGGGAAGGTGGGAAAAGACACAAGCACCAAAATATACAGATTTCCCAAGAATGCGGCCTGTGACATGACAGAAAGAAGGGCCGCAGACATTCTTTTAGGACAGATAACATTTGCCTCAATAAGTCAGTAGTAAAACTGTTCACCTTTAACCTATTTTACCCTCTGAGAACCAGAGACAAGAGGGACAAGAGATAACACATAACACCTCTAAGGGGAACCATGTCAAGAGAGTTTCCACCCCGCATGCCAACTACGACCTGTGAGGATTCCAGTTTCACTTCTCCCTCCAGACTGAAGAGCTGGTCACAGAATCTTCCTCCCTCGCTCCAGTTGGAGAGAGCACAAAATAAGACTTAATGCTATCCGTCCGGCCCAGGTCAGGTCAGCCCCTGGTTTCCTCTCTCAGTAAGTGGGGTGAAGCTGCTTTCGGCTACCGTGGTGCACACAGATGGAACCAACTTCCTGATGATCAGCCACATTCAAATCTAATTAAAAAACTCTGTCTTTGATTGATTTCTTTTCCTATAGTGCCCTTTTATTTATAACATATATCTTATCACTGCACTGTGTGTAACTATTTCATTTCATTTCATCTTTAATGTTTCCTTTTATTTGAGCTTAATACATTTCTTTTATTGTTTTTAAATGTCATTTAAATGCCTTTTCTTTGCCTATACTAAGCACTGTGTTGCTTTATAAATAAAAACTACCTTGTCTTGTGAGCTGAGTTGAATTTAAATGAAGGAGCAGTTAAAATTGACTTTAACAGAACAAATAGTAACAAATGAGAAAAACACTGCGCCAAATACAAACAGATACAACTTAATGTGTTGATTAAGTGTGACATTGAACTATAACCTGTTGACAACTTGTATCTATGCATCAATAACCATGTTGCCTAACACATGGCCTCACCCCCTCCTCCTACACACAACATATGTTTCTGATTATGTGCTCGCAGTGACGAGGACAAAATAAAGTCCTGGATTTAATGCGAAGTTAAGTAGCAGCCACCCCAGAGTTGTGTGTGTGTGTGTGTGTGTGTGTGTGTGTGTGGATGGTGGTTGATGCTGTGGCTCTAAATCAAAGACATAATGGGCTATGATGCCAAGTTGAGGCAAGGTTCCCACTATTTCTGATAAATTGTTTTCCAGGATATTTTCCAGGAGTTTGTCGGGGACCCCCAGTTAGGGGTTGCCAAAGCTTCATAAGGGGTCACGAGGCCTTCTTGATTTTTAGGCGTGCTAGAAAACTTAAGAAAATATACGAAGACCTATATGCCAGCATGTGGTTCACTTGTAAAGTAAACTGTCTAACCAAACAATGGCAAACAAAGTGTCAGGGGCAATAAAGACTGATTTCTTTCAAACAAACCTGCCTGTATGATTGTATAAAATGATTAAAAAAAAAATACGTAAGACAGACAGAGAATTTTGCTACAGAGTAACCAGACTGGCCCGGGACACTGCCAGTTAAAGGTTAAAGTCCACCTCCCTGTGTTTGACTGCAGGGCCACTAAACTGTAGATTCTTCTAGAACAAATCACACACTGAGCATAGCATAAACATAATAATTCGACTAAATATGACAATACATGTATGGCTTGCAGTCCAATTAGAGGCATAATAAAGAAAAGAAAATCATTAGCACTGCAGAATAATAACCTAACTGGCTAAAAGTCATTTGAATGGAGGGGTCTCCCACAGTTTGGGTCTGGGGTTGCAGAGGCCCCAAAATAAGTGGGGGAAAAAGGATGTTTTAAGATTATGTGACCATATGGAAAAGGACGCGACTTTCCTCAGTGTTGTGATCAAAAAATCTATTCCTGTGAGGGTTCATTGGGACACAATTATACCTAAAATCTCACTAGGAGTAGCTTTTCTGCCTAACGAATGGCTTTCTCTGTTATTTTTAATCATTTTTAGAGGCCTTAAAAGGTCCAAACTAAGGCGGCACGATATGGTAATAACATAATTCATTATCATTTTCATCACAAATTGAATTTTCACTTGAACAAACTATTTAAATCATGATGATATGAAATCTTTGGGGGGTGTCTTTAGCAAACAAACACGTTTTCCTATATCTTAATTCTGCGATTTGCATATTGCACTTGGCCTTATTGCGATTTCGATAATATTTGCAGATTAAGTGTCAAAATACTCGGTTTTTCACAAGAAAATGACAGATGTGGCAGTTTTTTTTAAAATCTTCTTCCTCATCCTGTTATCATCTCTGGACCCCTTGGTGGGGGTCACGACCCCCCGAGGTTGTGGGTCCTTTAAGTTACAGCCAGCTCATATGTCTCCTCTCCTAAACCCCACCACCACCCCCGAACCGTGCAGCCTCTATCCAGCTGTAGGAGACAAATTGTTCATTACTTATGCAACGTGGGGAGGTCGTCGGTGTCGTGCTCGGGGTCTCTGGTGTTGGGGATCACTCCTATGATTGTGCTTTTCAGCGAGGTCCCCCTCAGCAGCCGCTGGCTGACCAGGTGCATGTTCCGCGGAGAGTCCACGCTGAACCTGACGGTGGAGCCCGGCAGCAGCACCCCTTCGTGGGTCAGCAGCAGCGGCAGACGGCTCGGTATCTGAATCCCACCGTCGGAGGTCATTGTCCGCTGTTTTCCAGGAGCCGGGGACCCTGTTTAAGTCACAGAAGGCCCGCAAACAAACACGCACTTTTCTCGCTGATAAACAGGGAAGTGTCAGGACATGACTTCCGGTGAGCGCTTTCGAAATAAGAGTCTCTCTGAGAAGTCTAACACGCATTTATCTTCCCCACCCAGCTCCAAATTCTTCCTCGACTTCCTGTATTAGGCACTACGGCAACTACAGAAGGACAAACTACGTTTCTTCATGACATTAAAACTGCAAAATAAATTGTCATGAGTTTGCATGTTTTTGCAATGATGGAAAGTAACCAGCTCTACTTACTACAGCACTCTAAAAAACAGTGATGAGGTACTTGTATTATATTTGAGAGGAAATTATTGTTATTTATTTTATTTTTTTTTTACATGTTTTTACAGCTATAGTTACTAGTTAATTTGCAAAATACAAAACATAGAGTCAGTTTGTAAAATATGATGTTTTACTCTAGATTAAAATGTCTTTATATCCTGTTAAAGTCCAATAATATAATCTGATTGCTGCATACTGAGTACCTTTCACAATAAAAGTAGCTACATTTCGCAGATGATAGGCTACCTGTTTTTACTTAAGTAATGGGGTAACATTACATATTGTATTTTTACATTGTTATATTGCTACTTTTACTGAGATTAAAGAAGTCTTCTACTACCGCCACAGCAAGTTTAGCTGTTGGAACCTCTAAATTACTGCAGAATTGATTATCCGGTCTTTAAATACAGCAAAATAACTCAACAATTTCACATTTTAAATGTTTTTTTCTTACATATACTAATAACACACTAGTAACCACAATCTACCATCTCATTTGGGAGAAGCATGTTCATTTGCATTATCTTTTCACTTGTATTATTTTATTTTTCTCTAATAAAATAATAGTAATAATCTTATAAACCAAAGAGGACCCACAGATATTTTCACTGAATATCTAAAGAATAATGACTGGACTGCAGATACAGCGATTTAATTTTTATTTCTTTCATAAAAGTATTGTCACATAGCATTATACATTTCCAAAAAATAAATAAATTCAATATCTTGTGTATAAAAAAAATCTGTTTCTAAAAGACCACTGACAACAACCATCCATAGGTTTGCAGTTATCATCTCTCTGTTGTTGCCAGTCAGTCTGGGAAATATCACTTTATATTCACAATAAGGGATCTCTGAATACACCTTAAAATGCTCTTATGTTTACAAAAAAGACAACCATACAGTTAGATATGATAGACAAAGCAAAATAAAAATACACTGCATTTATAGCAATACACCAATAATTATCATTCATCTGTTACATCATTATAGATCTTGTTTTACATACGAGAGCCACGTTTAGCCCAATAAAACTTACAAAAGCTGTCAATGAGTACCTTTCAGACTAATAAAATAATAATTGATCATCATTCTCCCTCCTGAAGAGTGACACAATTAGGCTTGCAAGGCTTTAACATACAACAAACATGAAGTCAGGAGTGAACGCGTGAACTGAAACTCTCACACATACAGTAAGCTTTCACACATTGTGCAGTCTTGGCAGTAACTAGACGTTTCTATGGGACAAATACCTGAAGCTTATAAGTGAAATGAGTGCAGGAAGTAGTGAGCAAATAATTTTCAGCCCCTGACTATGCCCACTACCGTAAATGACTGACCCCACCCACCTCACTGTGACTAGGCTGGCCACAGTAAACAGAGACCTGAAAATAAAAAGGTTATCATTTGATCCTTGTCGTACAGCTCACAGTGATTTGGCCTGTTTACATCCTGGAGGCTTTACAACAGCACAGCAGGTCTTCACTTGGTCCATTTTCAGATTAAGTTTAAAAATATCGGAGATGGCACGTCTAGTTGCCCAACTGAAACATTTGCAGCGCACCTGTTAGGTGTATCTAAAGTTTGCATATCTAAATTATTATAATCTCTTCGGTTATATGTACTGTAAAATATTCTACAGAGGAAATTAATTACTTTACTTGGGTTAATTTCCTATTTAGCAAAAATTAGATTTCCAGTTATAAAAACTAACATCAGGAAATATTAAATAGGAACAGTATCTGTCAAGTCTGTTTCAAACTGGAAGGAATTAATACATGAAATACATTATAATTCCCAAATATTAATCCTAATAACCTGACCTTGTGGACTTTCTCTGTTAAAATGGAGATTTATTCATCCAGTATGAGAATGAACACATTAAACAGGAAGTTCATTTTTATTCATTGGCCCTTAGAAGTGTTTCTTATTCAAGGCCAAGTGCCTCAAAAAGTCAGTCATTCAAACACCTCTCATAAGGCCTATTATATCCTCTGTATGTCCAAATCATAACGCATGTTTTTTATTCTACACATGCTGACCGGGAACCATCTTATCAACACCTAACCCTCATCATCTTTAGTAATGAAGTGAGGCATGTAATCATTATAATAATAATAAAAACAATATATGGTAAATTAGTGTGGACTTATGTAACTAAACTTTATGTATTGGGAAGTTTTAGTGGAGCAGCACAGAGAAGTCAAGCTTGACAACCGCCCCTTCCTAAGTCCCGCCCCTTTTTGGTACCTTAGCCAACTTCCTCCTTTTCTTGTACTTAGATTTTTATAACTGTCTTTTCAACATAGATGAGGTTAGCACGTAGCATATCTAAGTACGGGCAAGGAGGAAGTTGGCCAAGGTAGCAAAAAGGGAGCGGGACTTAGGAAGGGTCAATTACAGATGGCCTTCAGGTGATCTGGTGGCTGAACATAACTGACTTTAACATCTGTGTTTTTCACTCCACCTTACATCTGGAGAAGTATTTTGGCCATAATAACCTGGGAGCTTTTTATTTGCACAGTGTGTCTACTAAAAAGACACATTAAAGTTCAAAGAAAATACTTAATTCATCAGTATAGGTTTGTAAATGGAGCATAAAATCTAAATAGCCACACACACCTCACTTAACCTTTTTACCAGCTGTGATCCAATATTTTCCTAATTTTTCATTTTTCTGTCAATGTTCATTTGAAGGTTTTGGGTTTAGTACATGTTAAATTAACTTATGATCTCTACAATATACGTAGCTGTTTGTCTTAATTCTTCAAAACCTGACAAGTTCATACATTTAACAGCCATGAGTGGAAGTGGAAAAAAGATAACAGTAAAGCTGACACACACTGAGGAGCAATCTTTGACAGAAACAAGAGATACTGATTTGCGTTGAAGTAAAATCTTAGTCAGAATTTGTTTGAGTTCCAGGTTTCATGCAGGGATTTGTTGCATATCTTCTTAGCTGAAATTCTGAAAGGAGCGAGTGAAAATGCCCCAAACCAGCCTGGGACGCAACTGTAACCTATCAACTTGCACATTTTCAGCAAATATTTTTACCATGTAATTGTTGTTAGATTGTTTTTATCTATTTAAGACTATTTCATTTGGAATTGTATCCAGATTTGTGGCCTGACTGTGACTTCATGTGTAAAATGCTTATTGTCACTCTTTAAGCTTTGCACAGGGAATTGAGACATCAAAATATTCAATAGTTGCCTTATGCAAGAGAAAAATAACCTCTATAACAGATCTATAATAACGTAAAAATGCACAGCTTGGACGGAAGGAGGTGATTATATGTTGATTGTCTGGGTTGAACGCTCACTCTTTGTGTGTGATGAACATACATAGCTACAAACTAAATTTACAGGTAAGTGATTCAATTTAAGGCCACACGTACGTTTGCATATCTCTGTGTTTGTATTATGGAAACATTGAATTCAGCATCTCCCTCCCATTGGTTTGAGCTCAGTCTTCAAGGCTGGATCCCATCACCAGTACATACCTCCTCAATCTGTGCCAGGCAACTCTGCAGCACACCCACAGGACTAAACAGAACACGTCTAAATACTTCCCAGACGTCAGTCCCTAAGGTATTCTCTGCAACTCATCGCCCACTACTCGTGCCCATATGTTCTGGTCCTGTGCAAAGCATCAAGAATTTTGGTGTCTCAGAAGAAGCTCACCCAACTACCTTTAGCCACTGGATCAAAGACCTACTTTTGCACTTTTTTATAAAATACTCATAAAGGGGCTCCACAAAGGCTTTTCATAAAGTACGGAATCCCTTTCTTAACCATATTAAAGAGAAAATCCAATTACCCGCCGTTCAATAAAAAGGACAAAGTCAGAAGTAGCCATGCTCGCTGCCCTGCGTCTTTTCTTTTCTATTCTTTCCAAATACATATTCGATAGCCTATTATATTCTTGTGTTTTCTTTAACTTTTATTTTAGGTAATTGTTTTTTTTGTATGTTGTTTTTTCAACTATCACTATGTACTTGTACATTTTCTTTTCTCTTGTCTGTTTTATATACATAATATGTTACTGAATATATCATACAGTATTGTACCATTTCTCAAACATCACAATAAACGAAGTTACAAAAAAACAAAAAAACAAAAAAGAAATACATGGAATGGATCGTTATTTTGACAGTTTTTGAATATGCAATTTGGGCCAAAAGCGACGTTATAAAAATAACACTTTAAATGCAGGCTGCGGGTAAGAGATGCATACAACAACTGAAGAGGGAGGAGAAAACAGTAGTTATCAGTTTGCCTTGAAGGTTGAAGTTCAGTTCATGTACAATGCTCTCGCTCTAGCTCATAGGTGTTTGAAAGGAGTGTTGATGGAAGAGAGAGAGAGGGGTGTGGCTATGGTACAAAATCATCTGAAGTTGCTCAATATAATAATCCAATGTGTAGTCTCTCTCGCTGCATCTTGTTGCTCTCTGAGGTGAACCACGCAGGCCCACTGGAGCACATCACAGGCTTTCTTTGGCAAAGCCACAGTGATGTCCTCGCGCCAGGTGTAGAAAATTCCTTAGAAAATAATTGTATCTAATATTCTTATCGTACATCAATTTAGTCGATATATGTGAACAAATCTCTTCCAAAACCTGAAGTATCAAAGCATTGATCTGAGATGCCATCAAGAGATTTCAAGAAGTTTCAGGCTTCCTGACTGAAGGAGAATTGGGATATCTGAGGAGATGGAGCTCCCAAATGAGCTTTATTTCATTTTAGCAGAAAGTCCTTATGCTCCTAAAATCACCATGAATACTGTTACTGTACCTACAAATTGTCCATTTCCCCTCTCCCTGCAGCTCAAGGGAGATCATGATACCAAACCCTCATCAGTATCAACAGGGACACCTTCACCCCGCTGTCTTCTTCTCAGCTTTCGGGCTCCAAGTCTTTCTTCCTTCCCTTCCTCCAATAAGAAACACTACAGTCTGGAAGATAGAGGAAAAACTTCATTAATCATTTGCACTCCCAGAAATATTATTCAGTGTCTCTTTTCAGTGCCACATGTTTTACTGTCACATTATGAATGCTTCTCCATATGGAGCCTTGGGACCAGAGCTCTCAGGTTTCACCGTTTTGAGGAGTCACATACAAAGTATTTGCAGCTGTATGTAACTTCATTTGGTACCTTTTTTATGTATGTAATGTCATTTTGAGGTTTATTACGCAGTCACGAACTGTGAACGTCACAAACACAGATTAACCTGTAACAGCAGCCTCATACGAGTGGGTCAAAAGTGCACTGAGCACGTTTCTATAAGTAGAACACACACTATGAGTATGAAAACTGTAATGTTTTGCCTTTTGCGTTGCTTTGTGAATCAACACAGATTGCCTATATAACTGCAGAGAAAAAGTGCTTTTAATGAGTTAATAGAGAAGCTACAGGTTTGCACTGTTAAGTGTATACCACCTGTCTACTCACTCAGCCGAGGAGACATACAGCGATGTCTTGCTGCTCATCACTTCGCCATCTGCTACGGAAATGTGTCATGTGTTGGCGGCTGAAGTGATGTCAGCCTGTGCTATTGCAGTCAGTGATTGTGATGCACGCTGTCATTTGATATTTGGAGATTAGAAATTAAAGCTTTAAATGCTGGTCTTGCAGAGGTCAAATGGACTGAATTAAAGGGCACGAGACATGTGACAGTATAGCACTGTTCCTAATGAATGCAGTCACATGTGTTCAATCCCCACATGTTAGGGCCTCTCTAACAGGAAACACTAAGAGTGGTTACGTTCTGCGACTGTCATCTTGTGTATAGCCTGGGTAGCATTATTGTAGCAGATGCCCAATTATCCAAAAGTTCTGGTTTCCTAACAAACACATTGCATTCCACGTCCTTGACGCTGAGGTATGTTTTAGCCATGTCCTTGGGCGGCGTGGAGGCCTGGGCTCATCACAAACAACTGAAGTGAGGCTTCACAGTTGTGCTTCGAGTACCATTACGGATATGTTGGCTACGTCAATGCCAAAATATGCTTCAACAACACATCTCGTCTCTTTGCATTGAAGATGCACACAAAGGTTGTTGACAGGGAGCCATACAGGGGCGGATATAGAGGGATGGCATTAAAAATGCCACACCACCCCGGTTTGGTGTCCATTGCTGTCAAATTTAACACATTCATTATGTAAAAAATATGTATTTGGAAAAATGTCTGAACATTTGGAAATAAAACAATTTATTGCTTTCAAATGCCACCTTTAGATTTTTCTCTTCAGTGCTACAATAATGTTTTTGAGTTAAAATACCTTCATTTGGAGGCTTTTCCAAGCAAATATAAATAAATATATGTGATTGTTTGCTATTATATCAGCATATATTTCTGTCACCCCTTAAAGTCTCCATGCCACCACCTGAATATTTCTCTGTGCACATTGCTTATAGAGCAGAGCACCTCCAGTTACACACTTCTCTTCAAGTCTACACAAACAAAAAATGAACCACAGATGCTTTCAACACACTCAACAAGTAGTGCTGCACACCGTATGGAAGGGGTTACAAATGTAAATAGTTTTACAAGACCGCAAGACTGAAAGAAGCTTGTTAAAGTTAAATTGTCTGGGAAACAGGGCAGCCAGATAGCTCACCTGGTAGATCTGGCACCCCATGTATTAAGACTGAGTCCTTGCTGCAGCGGCAATGGGTTTGACTCTTTTCTGCGTTTCATCCCCCCCTTTTCCTATCACTCTTAGGCTGTCACTATCAATAAAATGGCAGTAAAAATCCCCCCAAAATCCCAGTCCTGCTCCAGTGCACTATTACACAACTAAATCTCCCTTCAAGCTACTGCGTGAATGAAAAAGTTCTGCATTTTAGTAACGGTTTGATTTACCTCATTCTCATGATTCTGGCAGTTTTACACCTGCATGGTAATAAAAATGCCATTTTGGTATTTTCTACTGCTTGTGCTATTGTGTGCGATGGTGTGTGTGCGTGCGTGTGTTTGGCAATGTTTTTGACAGGTAGGGAGATTAAATATCAGTGATGAGTACTTCTTCTGCGTGCAGAATAATCACTTCTGGAGCCACAAAATTTTGTTCAAATGGCATGGCAATGACTCAAGCACGACCCGGGGCATCAAAGGCTTGGCTATGCTTCGAGTGAGAGCAAAAGAGGACACATACACAACGTCCTCCACAGTACATGTAATGCTGAGCAACAACTAATTATGTACTGTTCTGACCATATTCTGTTTATGTCTAAATCTAATCCAACACTTGATTTGGCCCCTGATAGGTCTAAATATACCAAAAGTTCAAAAGGCATGTAGATAAGAAACAACTATTGACATGCTGCAATGTCCTGTCTGTGCAGTTTTTTCTTTGCTTTAAATTGTTCTTTACACAGCCCGTTCTGTTTGTGTGCCTGTCCCTGTGATTATAGTGCATTCACATTAGACAATAGAACAAGTTTTTAGTTACAGCCTGCAGTGTCATTGTATGGTTTGCTTTGTTATACTCACAGTCCTGCTGCGCTTCTTTGCTGGCAAAGCACTCGCTGAAGAGGCAGTGCATGGTGTGGCAGAAGTTGTCCAGGAGGGATTTTGGGGACGCATATCGCCATCTGGACTCTGGCACTCTGTCGGGTTCTTCTGTTAAATGATCCCAAGTGTCCTGGATAACCTCTGGAAGCTCCTGCTGGAACACCTGGACACACACCCCCACACACACATGGGTGAGAGACAGCCAGGTGGGGTAAATATGGAGTAAATGGATATGGATCCATCTATAAAAATGTCAATATATTGTAAGAAATACATCAACAGCACTCAACAATGTAAAATTATATATATAAATAAATCAACGTAAGCATCTTAAAATGTGATATTTATGGTGGTTATGTAAGGTCAATAAGCACAAGAACATCATGTCTTGATGGAAGAAAAAGCAGAAAAACTTCCCTAAACAGTGGAAAAGAGAAGATTGATTGCCCAGTGATCACTTTTTCCTACATCTTTCAACCATTTGAAAAAAAAGCCAACAGATGCTTTTAATCCATAATATTTTAAAGTGTCCGACTACGCTGAACTTGCGACTCCTTCAGACTTTTGGTCCTCCTCACACCTTTAGATGTTACTTAGGTTCACACAACATACTGTATGTGTGTCCAGCTGTTACATATAAATTTGTCAACGCAGGCGAGTCCCTGTCCGACAGTCGGAGTGAGCACTCTTAGAAAAGACATCCAGAAAGTGGGACGTTAATCATAGCAGCTAACTGCACTGTTTCTCTTATCTTACGCCATGACACACAGCACTTTAGAGCAATGCATGACATTTCTGCTGCAGTGCTGCTTATGTGTTTGCCTTTGATGCATACGATACAATAAAAGCCTTGTTAACAAATGACTAGATTCTGTCCACAGAAATGCTTCAGAGCTTTTAATCTGAAACCGATACAGGAGGTGTTCTGTAAAAAAAATGTATTTGACGTTTAGTCTACAGGTATAGACAGTCCCTGCAGGATTTGTCTGTCTTTTTTGTGGTCTAAAATGCCTGCTTTCATGGCAGCTTTTCCAAAACATTTTTTTTATTTTTTTTCTTTTTTGTTGTATAATTTATTAACAACTGAAGGCAACTTGTTCCAATGAGAATGAAATCACTTGTTTTGTGATGGCTTAACATTTTATGTGGGGGACTGCTGTGATTAGTAAAATTTTGACAAAATTCCAAGATTGCACAGAATTTACTGGGATTGGTTGAGTTCATTATTGCGATCACAACATGACACTTCCTCCAGGGGGGGATTTAGAAATTGAAACAGTAGTAAAAGGTGTTGTGGATGTCGATATAACTATGAACTATATCCTTTTCATTATCTATTTTTGCTGGGAACCACGTGTCTTGCGGAGAAAATATGCAAGACCTTGACTCTCTAGTGAAGCATTGCTGCAGCCGCTTCACTGGTCACTGGCTCGAGGTCTTGGGCAGCTCATGCGGGCAGTCCGGTTAAGATGCACACCAAAATAAAAAGCAAGACGTTCCGTAACGCAGATACGTGCAGTGTGGCCAGGGCTTTAAAATGATCCCAATTCTATAATTGGTAAATGTTGCTCTCGGAAGTTTCAAGTAATTGGACCTAAAAGGAAACCCTTAAGGATACAGTGTGTAACATTTAGGAGGATCTATTGGCAGAAATTGAATATAATATTCATAGGTATGTTTTTTTATTAGTGTATCATCACCTGAGAATAAGAATTGTTGTGTTTTCTTTACCTTAGATTGAGCCGTTTTTATATACAAAGGGAGCGAGTCCTCCATGGTCAACCAGTAACTGTCCCTGGACAACATAAATATGCTGGTTTTCTTCAACAAGAATAACTTTATATCAGGAAACACAGAAATTGGTGTGCCATTATGTTTAGAGTTCTGTTTTAAGGCTGCTACTCGCTGTGTCTTATGTACTATAATGTTCTGCATAGGGACTTTTTCATAGCGGCAACCGTAGTTTCTCGTTCACGCTTGGAAGGTCGAGTATTCAAATGGTTGCAATCTGCAACTTCACCCACTAGATGCTACTAAATCCTACACACTGGTTCTTTAAAGTCTGGTCCTTGTACCATTTAAAGCCATTTAGTGTTAATGTTATCACTCATAGTGAACGTGGCCCTGGTCGTGGGGTATTCTGAGGTGTTGGGACGTCAGTTGTAGCAAACCCCACTGATGTCTAGTTGGCATGTGTATCTAAGTAAAGTATTTAGTAACATTTACGTAAGAGGAAGAACAAACCAGATATGGATCACAATTTCGGCATCCGAACTGCTGCGATCAGTCCAGACTCACTGTCTGCTGACTTTAGACTCACTGTCTGCTTCAACACAAGGCCAAAGGGCATTGATGACTGATAGGCCAACTGTATGTTGTAAACAAAACTCCCCATGCACTGCCAACAACAGTCAGGGGCTGGTAGGTCGCAGAACCATGTAGCAACTTGCTTTGTTTGCAGCTTCCAGTCAGGTGCCATCACAGTCTAATTATTTAATTTCAAAATGTTTTATATATATTTTACAAATGTGAGAGCATAGCAAAAACATGAAATGCAAAAATGCATATTGCAAAATGCAAAGCAAGATACATTTAAAAACAGCATGATCTAACAGAATCATAAGAATTACACATTACATAATGTAAATGTACAGCTGATATATCCTGTGTGCAGCCTATTTGGCACATCTGTGAGATCTCATGCAATTTTGCCAACTGTATGTATTTAAATGTCCAAAAGTCCATGTCTGACATTTGAAAACTGGTCTATTAAGTGATTTATTTTTTTGTTGCTACTGCTGGGCCAACATGATTTAACACAGAGGACAAAGAGGACATATGATTTTCGATCACATACCAACACTGATTAGTGTTAAATTCACCTTCACTGAACTCCTGTTGGATCGTAAATAGAAGCCGCATTTAATCTTGCAGTGATAAGACCATTCATTCCCAATATTGATAAATAGGATCAATGTGACATCCGTCTCCTGTCAAATATTCTTTGACCCTTACAGTCCGAGGGAAATTCACTTACTGACTGAATTGCTTCATTTGAAGAGGAATTTGATAGATGGATAGATACATGGACCACAGCTCTATTCAATTCCTCTTTGGATAACGAGGAAGTTCAGGAGGAATTTAATAGAGGTGCGGTGCTGATATGTGAACTCTAGCTTACCTCAGCGGGATGCGAATGTACAAAGACTCCCTCTGCATCCCTGAAGCGTATTTCCAACTCAGCCGTGTATGGACGCGAAGGATGTCTCTCTGGCATAACCCGGAGGATCTGAAATTTCAATTTGTCTTTAGTGTAAGACAGCAAGATGTTCTCAAACTTAAAGTCAACAAGCTCAATAACCTTCTCCATGCAGACCTTTGACTCAGGCAATATTAAATGTGTTAAACGTGTGTCAAACGTTACTAAACAGCATTAATGACAGTGACTACTGGGCGAGAAAGAGGGGTCTTCTCAATACACGCACTTGTAGTGTCTTCAAAGAGACAAGAGTCCGCTTGTCTGTAATTGTCAACAGTTAGAATGTAAGGGGATTTCAGAGGAGTCTTTAGATGGACAGAGAGCAGCATCCTAATGTCAAATGTGGGGCATGCAGGCCTGTGCTCTCAGGTTGCTGGGGCCAGTAGGTGAAAGGTTGTTTTCAAATCTCCCACAGTAGCATTTAACTTAGTTTAGTAACTGATGTAACTGTGGCTAATGGCTCCTCACTTCAGCTTAGCTTTTCCCCCCAAAATGTTCACAAAAACGTTGCATAAAACTATAATTGGATTGTACTCTTTTGTAATCAAGATGAATCCAGAACAGACCCTCTTAGTTATGCGTGCACGGTTATGGGTTGACTCATTTTCTTGTCTTAATATCATTACAAAAATGTAACCGCTACTGTTCCATAATGCTTCAGATTTTTTATTTCAGTTTATAAATCATTGTATGCCTCCATACGTATGCATCCAAATAATTCTTAATTATCCCCCAAAGTGACAAGATTTGATGTTAGTCACATAAAAAACAAGCAGCTTAGCAGTAGCAGTGACAATTAGATAAGATGATTCACAGAAAATATACAATATATATAACACTTTGATAATCTATTAATTATAAATTGTACATCAGCTGTTTCACCTTGCTTTAGGGGAAGAAAACTAAGTAAATTCAACGTAAGTGGTAACACATTGTAAATAAGTTTTGAGAAATCCTGTACATGAGTGTAATATATTAACTAGTGAATGTAATTGGTACCTTAACAATAAATACTAAGTTACTTATATTCAAATTAAATATATTTAATGCTTAAATTGTTTGAGTTAATAAACTTAAATGGTTTAAGGCAATCAGTTTCCAAACAAAGTTTGAGTTGAACTAACTTATCGGGTTTTACAGCTTAGTACTGCAACATCCTTGTTGTTATTAATGACGTTTTCTTTCTTGTTTATTCTTTACAAATGTTTTTCTTTATCTCTTTCAAAAAAATATGAAAGATTAAATGTGTGATGAACCCAATGAAATCAACTTTTCCATTGACTATTGGTGGTCAGCAAACCATGCCCATTGGTGCTGAGAGCTGTACTGGTGTGACCAAGTAGAGTATTAGGTTAAGTGTGCATTAAGTGCGGTTTAAGGGTGTTGTCTGTTTTCCTAAGTGGTACACATTTGTTACATGTGGACGGACGTGTGGGTGTGAGAGAGAGAACCCAACAGAAGAAGAGGAGGAGAGGACTCTCCAACACCAAAGACACTTTAACTTCACTCAATTGGCCGTTATTTGCACCAGTGACCACTGAATTGTGAGGATTAAACGGGTTGAAGCCCCAGGCACTGAGCTTTTTACTAAACTAATTCAACCTGTCTGCTCAGGTGAGCAGAACATGCTACTTTATCTTTTACCTGAGGGCGAAATGTGAGTGCAGGTGTGTGGTGTGGCACTACTTTAAGCTCTTGTGTTTTGGAAAAGGAAAAAAAAAGACCAGTCTCTAGCCAGCAAACAGTATGTGCCTGTTCCCTCAATCTGTCAATGAATGACATGTGGTTTTAAAATAATTATCATTATTGATTGACAGTATTATGATTCATCTCAAATAAAAGACGAGGAATGTAAAAAGAGAGTTGCTGAAGCAAAATATTGTGAAAATGTGCTACTGCTATGTAATATGTAATATTGTAATATGAAATGTATGAGTAACACACAGGATGCAGTTCTTAAATGAAGGTTCAAATATTGCAATTTTCTTATGTTCATTTTTGCTCCTCCTTAACTCTTCCTCTCACATGCAAGTGAATAGAAATGAGTGGGGCACATTCTTACTCGCTCAAAACAAACGGTTGAATGAGTGACGTATTTCCACTGGCTGTGCAACAATGAAAACCTTTGAGACACTAAATATATTTCATGAAAGAAACCGGATTATCACTACTTTAGACTGAGCTTTGATGTACTAACAGGGTTACTTCAGACATTTTCCCACAGCCAAATGAACTAAATGTAAGTTCAATTAGGAAGACTATTTTTATTCCTCATTCATTCACAATTCTCTCTCTCTATTTCTTCTTAATCAGCTGACTATGGGTGTTTACTCATTGTTTACTTATTTAAATCAGATTTTGCTGCAATCTCAATCAGCCAATCATGCCTTTGCTGTCAACTTAAAATCTGTGCTCCTCTCTTCTGCTGTCAGCTGCAATTTCAGCGTGAAATCATTGCGACCCTCCTCCACTTCATTCACCTCCAGTTCCTCTCATCCAGTGCCCAAGTTGAATTTATCAAAGTTCAGCCATTCTCTTCCTCCCTTTCATCCCCACTACCAGTGTCTAGACTCCCTCGGTGGGGTTTCGTATACTACTCACAACTTCACTAACCCCTAAAAACCATTATGATTGTGATTATGTCACAATGGTTTGAAAGACTTTTCTAGTCATTACTATGCACATGGTGTAATCATTCACTCATAACTGTCTCCTGATTAAACTGCAGACTTTGTCACATCTCTTGTGTCATGCACTTATCTACACCTGCTCAGCTAAATAAATTATCTTTAACAATGCTTCTTCCCAACCCTTTGCGTCACTGCAGTAAGGTATCTGAGGTATGACGGGGGGCTCAAGTTACACTGAAGCCCAGGGCCACCGGTGGCCTCAAATGAGCTCAGTATCACACTAATAGTTTTTCCACCATATTTGTTCTGGTTCTTAAACCCGTTTCGTATAAGAACCTTGGTGCTTGTAAGCAATTATGCAAATCCTAAAAGCATTTGATTTCTGACACACAGTGAACAGCTACACTCTTTCAGCTGATAGCATTATATAATCCCCAGTCAACTTAAATAACCTTTTTATCACAGTTGTCAAAGAAAATGAATGATCTTCCAGTGACAGACAACAATCAAAACACACACAATATGAATTTATGCTTTTAAAAACTGAATGATGAATAATTGACTAATTGGTTGACAGTACGCATACATAATGTTGTGTCCTTTCAGAGTCTCAGATTTTAGCCAGAGATGGTTTGAGGACAACTTGGTAGATGGAGTTCTTAAGTGGTTACTCACAATGTAATTGAATTTCTTGAAAATTTAAATTGAAGGCTAATAAAATAAGTGGACACAGTTGACAAGAAATTATAGAAATAAAAAAACAAACAAGTGGTGTAGTCATTTTGACAGCTCAGACCTATTCAGGTAGTAAGGAGAGATAGAAAATGGGCACCTTGTTTAAACATTTACACAAGGAAAATAAAATCAAATGTTTTGGTACAAAATGTGCAATAAATTGCATTTTTATGCAGATGATATTCTTACCTTTTTTAACACGCCTTGGTTGACCTGGAACCATAACCTCTGGAGAACCAGCTCATCCAACCCCTCCACCTGTAACCTCTGATGGGTTGAGGAGAGAAAAGACATTTTTGACAAATTACACTACAGCACGCCACCATATGGCATCTAAAAAGTATGTATATAGGGGAGGAAACATAGAGCAGGGGAAACCTATGAAGATGGTTATACAGGTTTAGGTGGGAGTTGCATTAATCTCAGTAGCCAGACCTTTGACTGGTGGCATAAAGTCAAAGACTCAAAGTCGGGCCATGAGAATAAGACACATGTCAAGCATCATCTGATGAATCTCTTCCACCATGTCCTCAGTGACGGGAAAAGAGTCAATAAATTGAGACGGCGTCACGACTTTTACCATTCTGCTGATGTTTGACAGTTTAAAGACTTCGTGTTGGTGAACCCTGATGGTGTAGTTGATGGGGAAATTGTGCTTCTGTAACACAGAGAAAAAGAGAAACAATTATCCCACACATTTCATAAAGCAGAAAGCTGCAATACATGTTATTGTCACATTTACTATCAAAACTAGTAAATTTAACGTCTTTCAAAAAGACACAGAAATGCAGCCCTAAATATTTCATTTTTGTATTATTGATAAAAGTCCCCATCTGGGCTAATCATTAATGAGACCATGATCATTTCCATAAATCTGGTCAAAGTTGGATTAATTGTTTTTGATGTTTATTGGGGTCATGCACGTGCAAGTCTACATTGATTGGAAGCCAAAAATACTGCTGCAGTAAAAATTTGTCAGTAAACAGCACTTCTCGTATATAACATTACACGCAAACACAGAAGTTTGTCTTCTCCCACACTCTCTTACTAAAAATATCATTTCAACTACAATCTAATCAACAGCATAAAGGATATAGTGCATGATGGGGACAGCACTTATCCATATTGTCCACGCCTGGACTTTATTGTTCAGTAAAATTATCAACCATAAAGGGCCACTCCAACATATTAAACATCAAGTTTAGTTTATTTGTCAAGGCTAGAAAGTTCTGCGACTCTGGTGGAGCATGGTCGGTCTCAAAAAATAATCCCAGTGATTTCATTGTAGGGTCATTTCAACCTGGACAAATTCTTCACAGAAACCTGAGTAGAGGCATTAACCAATCAGAGAGTGTTCTTAATGAAAAGGATTTATGGACACTAATGTCTCTAATTTGGAGCCAGAAGTCAGGATGTCCTGGCAACCATCACTAGTGGCTAGTCTCTCTCAGTTCTTTAAAAAAAAAAATGTCTTTCTGTTGTCACTATTGTTCTCATTGTTGTCTCTTATTATTGTGTAGTTGGCCGCGGTCAGCTGAAAGTCAACCTTCTAAGAATGACCCCTTGAATACAACGAACGTTAGGGTCAGAGTTGTAGCTCACATTTACTCCCACTGCTCTGGTCCCACCCTGCTAGTCCAGAATTTAGGAGCACTGACCTTCCACCCACAAGGCAACTGAACACGTGTCTCCACATTCATTGAGACATGCTTATAAACATGCCATCATTCTCTCACCATGTACCGTCTCCTGTGGCTGAGGCTGTCGTTGAGCGTCTTCAAGGGTGTGCACATGCTGGCCGGTGTCGGGGCCATTTGAACAGGTGCTAGCAGAAACAGGCCTACAAAAACAGGAGCAGCATGAGATTAACTGCACAATCACTAGACAAAGAGAAACTACTTGACTTGTTTGGCCAAACTACTGCATGTGTGAGCAATATGTGCACGTAATGATGTGTGTGTTTACAGGATTTTTGTTAGCAGTGGATCGGTTTGATGTATGATCACTTTGTGTTGAAGCAGAGCTACTGTGACAATAGTCTGCCTTGACAGAAGTCAACCAGATCCACCATGGATCAAAAAGTTGTCAGGATAGATATATCCAGTGTACGTAGTATACCCTGGCTTTCCAGGGGAGCTCACTTTTTCTTATTGGGTGTGGTTGTGCCTGCCTCAAAAGAGACATGAGTCATAGTATGCTGACTACAAAACAGACCAACGAATAATGCAACGATTTTGTGTGCAGACTGAGAAGACAGTTGTTTTTTTCTGATATCTGAGTTAAAAGTGAGTGAAGTCAATTACATTGCGTCGCTAGGCTTCAGTGTTGATGGCAAAAATAGCATGCATGGTGATATCTTTATTAAAGTGAATTAGGTCAATCATACATAATATCAATACATCCCATTGCTCTCATGTAGTTCGCCCCCTGGATATATTTACATATATTTTTCATTTTGTATATATTTTCAGCCGTTAGATGAAACATTATTACAATTCATCCTGAGGCAAACAAATTTCCTGACAATATCCGTCCAACAGTTGTCAAGACATGTCACTCAAAACCACAAATGTCCACCTCATAGAGGTGGTAGAAGAAACGTCAGGGAATCACCAAAGTCTTTAGGGTGCTTCCTCTGGGAACCATGATTGACTGGACCAAACTTTTGTGACAGTCAAACAAGTAGACGCTGAGATATTTCGCAGGTTTTTGGAAAGCTTTGGATAGGATTTAAAATTAGGATACTGACCAAAAGCCAGTCTCCTAATTTGGTTGGATTCATCCTCTTGGGACCGACCGATCAACTGACCGACGACACTGCCATCCCTAGAGCCACACAGCTGTCATGGCTAAAAACCAATTGCCAATGGTCACTGCAAACACACTCTTCTTTAACTCGGTCAGCACATCAACAATTATTATCATGTGTAAAAGAAAAATCCTCCTTATTTTTGCAATGGCAACATTGACTGAAGCAACCGCAGTTTTATCTTTGGAGGTTTGATCAAGTTTGATCAAGTCTTTTTGCTCTGATCCTGATTGATTAAATATGTTGCTGACACACAACAATAGCTGTAGCCTTCGAAATTTTGGGCACATTTTATTACTCACAAGCTACATATAATGGTCCTAATTCAAAACTATAAAGTTGGTAAGTTTAAATTACTGATACAGTTAGAGAAGTCCAGTGGCACTCCATACAACCAATCAAGCAAGCAAGTGCTCATTCCAACAGCTGACTGACTTGGGGTCAGGGTTATACATACATTCACAAACATTAGTCTGTTTACACAGTTAAAGCCTGAAAATCAATTAGTGCACTCCAACATCTCTTCTCTGTCCTCTCCTCGTCTCTGAGTCTTCAACGTCACTTCTGCCAAAAACGTTAACATCCTTTTATGGACATTATTCGCGCCACGGCAAAAGGTCGGAGCACGTCAGAACTTATTTTATGCATTCAAACAAATTACCAGTGATCTGGAATTTCAATTGAAGACTCCTTTTTTACGGACTCCACCGTTGTTTACCATCTGTTATAGTGTCCCAGTAAAACACACACGTGTCATTGACTCAGCCAAGCAAATCAGTCAACCAATCAATTATCTTGACAGTTGCTTGCCTCTGTTAAACATTCATCTTGATTCTGTCAGTATCTGAACTGTTTTTTTCATTCTGTGCCTGTGCAAGAGGAAAAAAACTAGTCAGTAGCCTGTTTTCCTAATCACAAATATCACGTTTAAATGCTTGGAATACCACTTCACATGTTTGTCTTTGCTCTGCATTGCTTTCATGTGGAGGACGGAAAGGCTGAACAGTCTGTCATATACCTCTTAGTCATTGACAGCGTCCATTAAGGGCAAACTCATTGAGGACATTTGATGGCCAATCAATCAATCAATCAATCAATCAATCAATCAATCAATCAATCAATCAATCAGTCAACCAGACTTCATTTGAATAGCACTTTTCATAAAAAGCTATTTAACTCAAAGTGCTTCATGCATTAAAACACCCTTCACAGCTTTATAAACCCAAAAAGGTTTGAGCAATGGTAGATCACATATGAATCTTAATCCCTCATTAGCTTGAGAATTTCTTTTATAAATGTTGTTTCTCCACAAAGATCAATGCATGGCAATAGCAAGCTCCTGTATGTTTGCACACTAGTATTGGCAGTATATTGGCAATAATCTGGCCATACGATATGCATCACGATACAGGGGTTACGATTTGATATACTGCGATATATTGCAATTTTATTTAAATCAAGTTTTAGCAAAGGAATACACTACCATATACATATTTTTTTCATGCAACCAGAACAGTGGGATCTTCCCAGTCCCTGTAACATCCAACATCATAGTGCTAAGTTTACAACACTGCAGTTGGTTTAAACACAAAAAATCAAGACAGTGTTTTTGAGAATCAATACAATATCACAACATAAAAATATCACAAGTTTGATATTTTCTTACACCTTAATGTACACCATCAGGTTTTTAGGATTAAGGAGTAATAGTAATAGTTCTATAATGCTGTAATATTGTGAGGAAACAGTATGTCATTTTAAACCCACTGAAATTAGATTGATTCTACTGTCATCGCACAGGTACTGAGACAATGAAATAGTGCAAGAACAGTGAGGAATGGGGTAAATATGAATATACATCAATTATCTCTAACTACGTGTCCTTTGGAGGGTCATAGGGGGCTGGAGCCAATCCCAACTGACATTGAGGCGCGGGACACCCAGGACAGGGCGCCAGTTCATCTCAGAGCTGACACATAGAGACAGTATGAGCAGTATGAGCCGTGTGAAATGAATATTCCGATACTTCCAATACTTCGAAAATATACAGTGCAGGTACAAGTATAAAGGCAACAGTAAAACTTTATGCAGACGCTTCACTTTCTCTCATAGATGTCCTGTTCTCTCATGTCTCTTATTTCCCCTCTCACTCACATATAATACACAGAAAGAGAGGCGCTCAGCACAACGATTTATAACTGAAATGTGACCCAGGCTCTTTCCCAACAACGCTAAAGAACTCCCCATGAGAGGGAGAAACATGATCACCGCTTAAAGAAATGTTCACTTAGTGCTGTGGGAATATGTCATACTGGATACAGTTATCCCTGAGGGATTTATGCAACTCACCTCACTGTCATTTCCACATGAGTATTATCATGCTCTCTTCTTACCATTTAACTATTCATGTACAAATGCACCTTTTCTTATACTGAAAATACTTAATAACATTTTGTTTGTAAATATACTCAAGTTCATTCTGTTTTTTCCAGCTCTTCAACAATTTTTCAAATTACCTGTTGCAGTTTGTTATGCTCAGAAAAATCCTATGTTTTACACAGTAGCAACGTTTCTTCTAGGTAGGAACTTTAGTTATTTTGCTCTGTTGCTCCAACATAAGATAAAACCTCAAGTAGCGCTAAAGTAGAGGGACTTATCCTGAGCTGTAGCTGCACTCTAGCTACCACTCTGTCCAACCTTTTGCACCATACATGCATCAAATCTGCAAGACTCATATGTCTGATTTGTCTGAGATAAAAAAAAATGCTGCATAGTCACGTTAAGCAACAGCAGCAACAACAGCTATCGATACAGATTTTCACATAGGACATTTTTGGTTAATTACAAAATAAATAAATGAATAATGGCAACCCCATTTACTGTTTAAACTGGATATCAACTGCATGAAAAACTACCACTGACTGCAGTATTCAAGTTCATATAAAAAGAACCATATGTCCTCATGAATGCACTCTACATGTACGTGTGAGTGTGTGTGTGTGTGTGTGTGTGTGTGTGTGTCTGAAAACAGATGAATCCCTTTCACAGGCCAAAGTGCTGCTGCCACTCCGAGGAGAAAGTCTCCTTTCTCACAGGTAAGAGAATGAGTTAAAGTGTCGCTGCACCATCTGGAAGTCTTTTTGTGTAAAGAGCACAGAAAAAAAACCTGATGGATCATCACTGTAAGATGAATCATGCAAAAGCAACACATGGAAGAACAGCCATTGTAGTTCTGGATATATACAGTTCCTTTTAGCTGTATTAATTCTGGTAAATTTAGACTACTAATAAAACTAATATATACTTCCCTTCGACCTAAACAAAATTAATTAGCACATTATCCCAGTAACTCCCAAAAAAGTTTTCATACATGAGCTTGCATTATCCTGTTGACTACTAAAGAACCTGTGCACTATTCAGGTAAAAGGTCCAGGGATAGTTTGAATGCTTCATAAAATATGTTTCTGTATCTAAACCTGCATGTCAGCACTTGTTTGTACTCCTGCAAATGCCTGAGAGTGCCTGTGTATGTGTGTGACACTGAACGAATTGTACTGAGATTATTTTCATTTTTCGTTAGTGTTGTTGTAAATTGAGTGAAAGCTTTTCATTATGTGTTTTAGTCTGTTGGATCAGATTGCAGCACAAACACACAGCTATATCGGCCGAACTGGTTTTTTGTAGTGTAGTAGACAGAAACACAAAAATGATTAAACAGCACTATTATGTATAACCAGTGAGCTGTAGTCTGCAGTAAAAGAGCTCATTTCAATTGTAATCATTGTAATAATCTGTAATCATGACTAATGGACCTTGTGCAGTGCTGTTTTGACACTGTCAAAACTTTTACACATGGGGAGGACTTTAAGCTATCACAGAGTAAGACTATTATACAATATGCAGAGATTCAGACAGAAAACAGCCCTGTGGTGCATGGTGGGGGCATGTTGTTTAAGGAAGCAGTTCTCAACCTGGGGTCGCCAAAAAATGTAGGAATATTTTAATTTCACAATTATTTCATCGACTAAAAG